AGGTAACGGTAACCCAACCTGATCCTGGCAACCACTGTGTCGCACAATCTGGTCCACGTTTTGTGCTGTCCATAGATATAGGTATCAATTCAAAACGTATCATAATTTTTTATACTGATTCTTTCCGGTACTGTTGTTTGTGATTTGTTATACAATAGTGTATAGTGTTTGTGTTTGTGATTTCTTATACCTGAGTGTTTGGAGTAATATAGTTTTGACGAGAACGATGGAGTGCCTAGGCCTATTTCAGTTTTATATTTGTTAATTGTTAATTTAGATGTTATGTGTGTTGTTACGATGAGCTGTGTGTCGATAATATCCACATAAGAGATATTCTGAACTATTCTGCGCAGCGAGTAGGATATTTATGAACGCATTCTTGATCAAACTACTAAGTGTCCCGCACGGCCATGTTTCAGACAACTAATTCAAACTGAGCCACTCTACATGTTGATACAGCAGGTACAGCCTTCCTTACAAGTACAGGAACACATACACTAACACTACAGTACCATAGAGGCACCAGTTGTGCTCACCTTGTTCTTTGATAAACATTTTTGCCAATATTTTGGCAATTGTTTTGTTAGCTGTGTACAGTAGGCTTTTCTGCCTCTCCCTGTCTCTCCCTCCCTCCCTCCGTCCTCTCCCTCTCTCTCCCTCTCTCTCCCTCCCTCTCTCTCTCTCTCTCCCTCTCTCACAAATTTGTTCAAGAAGAAAAGCAAACGCATAAGGCTTATCAACCTATGCGAAGGCAGCTTCTATTTATGTCCATGCAAACTCGTGCATGAATACCAAGCACGCCTAACCTATCCTAGAAGCAATCCAACCATCCCAAGTATTATTGTGTTATCAGGTAATCTGCTCCATAAATACACCACCGAGTTTCCAAACCAGTATTTACCCAGGTCTTTTCTGAATTTAAACGTAGCCATTGTTGTGTGTTCTATTTTGTGCCGATGTATTTAAATTCTTATATATATATATATATATATATATATATATATATATATATATATATATATATATATATATATATATATATATATTGTGCTTTATTATGCATTTGATGGTTACAAGATATACATGGGTTGATACAAAAATAATAATGCAAAAAGGTGCTTAAAGGTTATGGATCTCTTGAAGAACACAACAATGGGAAACATTGATGAATGTCACAGACGGGTTCGATCATTGTTGCAAGTCAAACACTTCTTCGAATTCCTCTGAAGTTGGACTAGTGCCCAAGACGCAACAGGCATTTCCCCTCTGAATCGCAACACTGAGGCGCTGGAACAAGAAACTTTTTGCTCTCTGGTCTTTTGTAGCGCTGATCAATTTGTCCCCCAATTCCTTCAGGAACTTCAATGCACATTTTCCCCACGAACCGAGGGTCTCCGAGCCGATCGGAACAAAGCTATATATATATATATATATATATATATATATATATATATATATATATATATATATATATATATATATATATATATATATATATATATATATATATATATATATATATATATATATATATATATATATATATATATATATATATATATATATGTCGTACCTAGTAGCCAGAACGCACTTCTCAGCCTACTATGCAAGGCCCGATTTGCCTAATAAGCCAAGTTTTCATGAATTAATTGTTTTTCGACTACCTAACCTACCTGACCTAACCTAACATAGCTTTTTCGGCTACCTAACCTAACCTAACCCATAAAGATAGGTTAGGTTAGGTTAGGTAGGGTTGGTTAGGTTCGGTCATATATCTACGTTAATTTTAACTCCAATAAAAAAAAATTGACCTCATACATAATCAAATGGGTAGCTTTATCATTTCATAAGAAAAAAAAATTAGAAAATATAATAATTCAGGAAAACTTGGCTTATTAGGCAAATCGGGCCCTGAATTGTAGGCTGAGAAGTGCGTTCTGGCTACTAGGTACGACATTATATATATATATATTTATATATATATATATATATATATATATATATATATATATATATATATATATATATATATATATATATATATATATATATATATATATATATATATATATATATATATATATAATGTCCTCTTTATTCAATCCATTTTAGATAGTAGTTTTTGTACTATGTGTACCATAGTACATAGTAGTATGGTACTCTGTGTGCCATGGTACAAAGATTGCCGTACTAAGCAATAAGACAGTAAAACTTTGTACTTTTCACTTTATAGAGTCGGAAAAAATGAAGCTAAAAAACAAACTTAAATATTCCTAGGCTTAGTATAGCACACATATGTACTATATTAGGCCTCAGATATCGTGTATCAGACCCTTAGTAAAACCCTGTCGTGAACCCTTCATTAATCTATATTCTTCAAGATGTAAATGAATGGCTTTTACGATTCTCAGTTAAACAAAAATCCTACAATTGGACGAAAGTTCAACGCAAGTGATCTGTCTCCCTTCACAGAACTCGGCACCACGTTTGCCACCTTCCACGATTCCAGTACTCTGCTGGACTCTGATGATTTAGTTATTATACCAGTTCCTTAGAGTTAATATACCAGTTCCTTAGAGTTAATATACCAGTTCCTTAGAGTTAATACACTAAGTTCCTCTTGATATTGTTTAAGAGCGCTCACAAACATGTCATCTGGCCCCCTGGAGATATTATGGACATTAAATTATTATTTAATAAAGTCCTCCTTGATAAACACAACCCATGCTCCAAAGATGGCAGCACTTCTAGCAACTATTTGGTCGACCGAACACACAGGGACTCCTGCAGCCAACAATGTTCACGCTTTATACAATTCATTTTGTAGAGGGCGTGAAAATAAAAGAAATGCAACATAAACACTCTAAGGTCTAGTATAGCACGCACATGTGCTATACGAGGCCTAAGATGGCATATATTAGGACTACATGACCAGGTTATGGCCTTTATTTACTTTTCTATTTTCTTAGTGTGCCATTTTGGTTAATTCCTTCTGTTGGTCTGGTCTGGTCCGAAAAAGTTCACAACAGTCCATTTTTGTACATTTGACCAATTCAACTCGTCCTCCTCACCACCTACATAGATTTGTTCAACCGCAGGCATATTGTCTTCGCTAGTAAAACCATAGACTAAGTACTCATTACAAATACAGCTCATTAGTGTGTCATTATCAGTTACCTGACCTTCCTCAGTTCTCAAGCGCCCCGACATCTCCTAATCTTTGATATATCTGAAGAAACCCGCTTCACCACTCCATCTTCTGGCTGCTGCAGTTACCTCCTCTCTCTCTCTCTCTCTCTCCCCGGCTCACTCTTCCCTTCTTAACCACACGCTTGCTTTCCACCACACAATCCTGCTTGTCTTTTGCTCTTGGTTCTTAGTCATAAAAGTGTTGTACATCTCCTGAGGCGCGCCTCCACACTAACGCCTCTACTCATCACCAGAAGGAGTCGAGCTTCGACCGGGTGGTGTACCAGACCCTCTATCCTGTGGGACTGATCATCTCGGCGATATTCCTGATTGTGACGCTCTTCGTGTACTGCATGGTGGTGGAGCTCCGGGACCTGCTGGGGCGCTGCCTCATGTGCAGCATCCTTGCTCTCTGCATCGCCCAGGTCTCCACCGTCATCGTCCAGATGGCCACCCTCGTCCTCCCCACCACCGCCTGCGTCTTCATGGGTGAGTGTCAGGGTGACGGTGTCGGCCTCACAGGTTAACGTGCCAAGATGCGTGGGTCCAGGTACTCCAGTTATATATTATAGACACCCCTCTTCGTGTCCAGATCAACCAGGCTGTGACTCATACGTCAGGCTGAGAGCAGCCGCGTCCAACAGCCTGGTTGACCAGTCCAGCAACCAGGAGGCCTGGTCGACGACCGGGCCGCGGGGACGCTAAGCCCCGGAAGCACCTCAAGGTAACCTCAAGGTAACCCCTCTGGTTTGGTCTATTTAAAACGAGTATTTCGATCTACGTTCCCGTCCTCATATACAATGGCTAAATGCTCGTTAATCTAACTGCCAAAGTGATGAATGGAAATTTGAATTTATTAATTAAAGTTATGAGTGAAAAACACTTTATACATTACTCACAACCGATTATGTTCAAAGTTTTCTTGAATAAATTTCGCTCTTTTCCTGTGCTTGGCCCGCGCCTCTCCCGACCGTCCAAGTGGTTGGGCACCATTCCTTTCCCCCGTCCCATCCCAAATCCTTATCCCTTCCCAGTGCAATATAGTCGTAATGGCTTGGCGCTTTCTCCTTGATAGTTCCCTTCCCCCTGCGGGGACGGGCGGTGCTTGGGCGAGCACAGCTTGACGACGGGTCGTTAACAACAAGAAGCTTAAAATCACCTTGTCCAGGCTGTAAAGAAATTGGTGCGCTTCGAGGTCTAGGTTTCAAAGCTTCGTGATTCAAGTCTGAATCGTTACACCACTTACATGCATGCAATGAACAGTTATCAAAGCTAATCACGTAGTTGCGTTACGGAAGTCCACTAACAAGAGCAAACAATGTTCTACAAGACCAAGACAATTGGGTAGAAAATTAGAGAGTTTCATGTTGAGCCTTGAGACTGTATCGTGTACACCAAGTAATTGTATCATGTAATCCCTTGCGATAATTTAAGGCTAATTATTAATAACTAGACACAAATGAGATAGAAAAAGAGAAAGCTTTATAGATAATCACTTGTGAAGCGTGCTAGTTAGTGAAGTATTTGAACCCGAGGCTCTGGGGTGCATGTACCGTGGCTAGGTACACGGGGATTGATCATGTACCGTGACTAGGTACACGCGGATTGATCGTGTACTGTGACCAGGTACACGGGGATTGGTCGTGTACTGTGATCAGGTACACGGGGATTGATCGTGTACTATGACCAGGTACACGGGGATTGGTCGTGTACTGTGATCAGGTACACGGGGATTGATCGTGTACTGTGATCAGGTACACGGGGATTGATCGTGTACTATGACCAGGTACACGAGGGATTGATCGTCTTGGTGTAGACAAGTTTAAAAGTATTTACACTACTTCCTCCATCATTGTATGGTGACTTGTGTTACATGTTCAGTACACAATTAAACTTCTCCCTTAGTACACCCCCTTTTCTTAATTCGATCCTATAACGCGCCCCCCTTACTACATAACCCCCCGTCCCTCTCTCCCCTTGTGCTATCACCCCTTCTTCCTGTCTACCCCCCTTCCCCCTTTTACCCCCCTCCATCTTCGTCTTCCACCACCCACCCCCTCCTTTATGCGCCCCCCTGCAGCGTACACGACCTCACACTCTGCCCCCTCCTGAGGTAAGGTACACCCCCCTCCTCCTACACACGCTTCACACCACACGATAAGACACACACGCTACACACCACTCATGACTCCTCGCAACACCTCAACACACACACACACTCCATGATCACCCTCTCCCCTTCCCTCCCACCCAAGCTCTCCTTTCCCTTTCACACGGAACAAAGCCATTCCGAGTAACTACAGACCCCGAGCCCAAGAGGTCACACTTGTCAAGAGGACACACCCTCTGAATTGGCCAATTACAAGCTGTTTTAGTGGTTTATTAGGTTTTATTCCTGGGATTTATGCATCAGTTAGTCCTCTATTAGAGATCCTTTTTCAGAAGTCTTAAATTGAGGTCCGGTGGCCCGGAGGGACCACAGTTACCGCCACACTTGCTCCTGTAAATGCCAGACGCCACTGTTTTTTGGAGCCCGGTTCAAGCCAAGAACTGCGAATTTATTCATAATTTACAAGTCCGTTCTCGAGGTAGTTTGTGGGTTGCCGGGAAACCTTAATGACCAGAAACTGTATCCTGAAGCCGCGTAGGGGTGTCTTGACGTAGGGACAGTGATGGTAGGGGTGTCTTGAGGTAGGGGCAGTGATGGTAGGGGTGTCTTGAGGTAGGGGCAGTGATGGTAGGGGTGTCTTGAGGTAGGGGCAGTGATGGTAGGGGTGTCTTGAGGTAGGGGCAGTGATGGTAGGGGCTCTTGACGTAGGGGCAGTGATGGTAGGGGTGTCTTGAGGTAGGGGCAGTGATGGTAGGGGCTCTTGACGTAGGGGCAGTGATGGTAGGGGTGTCTTGAGGTAGGGGCAGTGATGGTAGGGGCTCTTGACGTAGGGGCAGTGATGGTAGGGGTGTCTTGAGGTAGGGGCAGTGATGGTAGGGGTGTCTTGAGGTAGGGGCAGTGATGGAGGGGCTCTTGACGTAGAGTCCCTACCATCACTGGAAGGGGCTCTACGTCAAGAGCCCCTACCAGTGACGGGTCGGGTCAGTGATGGTCGGGTCTCTTGACGTGGGGACAGTGATGATAGTGTGTCTTGATGTAAGAGCAGTGATGAGATGGTTTATTCTACAGAATCTTTTCTGGATACTTGTGATAAAGGACCATGTGTTAAAACAAATTGACTACCGTGTATGTTATTTTGCTGTATGTAGCCTTTTTTGTTTACTAAATCAATTCTTTCTCAACCCTACCACCCTCCCATCCTCCCTTTCTGTCTGCCACCCTCCCATCCTCCCTTTCTGTCTGTTAGACTCTGCCTGTCTGTATACTCACCTAGTTGTGCTTACGAGGGGTTGAGCTTTGGCTCTCTGGTCCCACCTCTATACTGTCAATTGCGTGTGTGTGTGTGTGTGCGGCGTGGAATATTGAGACTAAGGGTTGCGTTTTCCCCCCACAGCTGTGATGATGCATTTCTGGTACCTGGCCGCCTTCCTCTGGCTCAACGTCATCTGCTTCAACGTCTTCCTCACTATATGGTGAGTCTCGGGACCTCTTCACCACGGGGGGAGTCAGGTCAGGCGGGAGCGCGGAGCAGGAATACGGAAGAGGAGTGGGAGGGTTAGAGTAGAAGGGGGGAGAGGAGGAGGAACGGGAAGGGATGGGGGGATAAATTATTTGTGACGGGAGAAGCAAGAGGAGATATTTGATGAAGGAACTCGCATTAATCACGTAATCGAGAAATGGCGTTTGAAGAGCACTAATTACCACCTCATGCTGGGATCTTCTCACTCTCCAGCCTCCTGCCTCCTTTTCTCGCTTAGGAAAAGGCGAGGAAATATCACGTTACTTTTTTTTTAAGGCACATTTAGTTGTTGTTGTTGTTTCAGATTTAGCTACTCAGAACGAAGTGTCCATGTAGCACGGGCTATGGTGAGCCCGTAGACACATTTAGTTCATGCCGACAATATTTATATCTCCTTATTTTATCTTCTCGCCTCTCTTTATCTTCTCTCTGGCTTCCTCTCTCCTCTCTATCTCCTTATCACTCAGCGCCCCTCGCCCTACCCCATTATTCCACGCCCATCAAAATTGACAGAGCCGTCTTGCTTATCGTAGCTCATGCATACTAATGCCTTGGTGTCCCCTGGCTGTGATCCCTCAGCCATCTGTCCCGGAGGTGTCCTAGACGACCTCCCTCCCTCCTCCAGGTCCCAACACCGACCCCCTGGTCCAGCTGGGAGTAGCCAGGTCTCTCTTCGTCTGTAACGAGTGATGTTACGAGGCTGGCTGGCCCTCTCTTCCTCTCTATCTCTCTCTCCTGCACGATATCTGAGACGCCAGTTACAACAAGAAGACTAGTGTGTCCTCAGAGGTACACACAAGGTGAACATGTCGACCAGGTTCGCTCTCTGGGCACTGATAGGGTGTATAGCCTCAACACTGAAGGTGTATAGCTGGGCCCAGGGTGAAGCTTGAGCGCTGAAGGTGCTCAAGCTTCATCACTTTGGGCCCATGTAGTGTTGGACTTGCTACTATGGGGGTAAGTTCACTCACAGGACGAGTGACGCTGCTCAATACTGTCCCTATGGCAGCATATTCACTCTGAGAATGATTGACGCTGCCCAATACTGTCCCTATGGCAACATATTCACTCAGAGAATGATTGACGCTGCCCAATAAAAATAAATAACAATTGCAGTATCCCAAAGCATTGTTGTGGTGGGTTGTGAACATGGTTGGGTAAGGTCTCTCCGCCTGTGTTACTTGGCAACACTTCCTGGGCTGGAACTGCGACCTTGGTAACGACTGGCCAGACTTGCCCACCTACTCCTTTCCCACTTCGTCCTGCCCTTCCCCTCCCCCTCCCCCTCCCTCCCCCAGCCTGCTTTTGTCTTAAATACTATATAATTGTATTAATAATAATAACCTACACGACAACAAAGAACTTGGTTGAGGAGCTGCCAGACGTCTAACTGGCACCAAGTTAACAATATCAAGCATTTGTAAAGTCTTCCTTAAAGGCCAGACTTTAGGGAAGTCTTAAAGTCTTCCACTCGCCTACAGGGAATTTTCAGATTTATTACAACTAATCTTTGCTCCCTTTCCCTCCCTTCCTTCCTTATTCCTCCTCCCTCCCTCCCTCCCACCCTCTCTCCTGGTGGCACCAGCTCAGACATTACGGTAACCCGGACCCATTCCACACTTTCACTGTGCCACATCTGTCCCACCCTAACCCATCCCAGTAGCCTATATCTCACTCCCACACAATCTCTCCCACTTTCACCACAGTCCATCACACACCCAGGCAACTCCCACATTGTCTCCCACCCTCCCATCTGCCCGAGGGACACTCTTATCGAACTTCTGACATAGTCGTGAAGTTAACGATGAATCCAAAGAAGATGGAGAAAGACTACCTATCGCCACAACTGGCCGGCTGTACCGCGGTACAGCCAGCTGTGGCGGCATCTGCCTCCACCGCCACCACAGCTGGCCGCTTGTAGCGAGTGGGTGGTACGGAGTGGGTGGGGGATGGACGGGGAGTGGGTGGGGGGGGGGGAGAGGTTGAGGATGGAGAATAGGACTGAAAAAAAAGCAAAACACAAAAGCTTGTTTTTTTTACTTTTCTCAAGGTCTTAACCGAATGACTCAGGCGGGTGAACCCCCCAGTAGGTGTAGGTCAGGGGGTGACCCCAGTAGGTGTAGGTCAGGGGGTGACCCCAGTAGGTGTAGGTCAGGGGGTGACCCCCAGTTGGTGTAGGTCAGGGGGTGACCCCAGTAGGTGTAGGTCAGGGGGTGACCCCAGTAGGTGTAGGTCAGGGGGTGACCCCCAGTTGGTGTAGGTCAGGGGGTGACCCCCAGTAGGTGTAGGTCAGGGGGAGACCCCAGTAGGTGTAGGTCAGGGGGGTGACCCCAGTAGGTGTAGGTCAGGGGGTGACCCCAGTAGGTGTAGGTTAGGGGGTGACCCCAGTAGGTGTAGGTCAGGGGGTGACCCCCAGTTGGTGTAGGTCAGGGGGTGACCCCAGTAGGTGTAGGTCAGGGGGTGACCCCAGTAGGTGTAGGTCACCTAATGGGATCCAAACCCTCTGTCATTTTAGATGGTTAGCATTGTAAGTGGGTGGCCACGTCTGTGGTAGATAATAATAATAATAATAATAATAATAATAATAATAATAATAATAATTTATTATTATTATTATTATACAATTCTACACCACCTGACAGCTGAGTAGACAACTCTCGGGATTCGTAGTCCTGATCAGGTTCCGGGTTCGATCCCCGGTGGAGGCGAAAACGAATGGGTAGAGTTTCTTTCACCCTGATGCACCTGTTCACCTAGCGGTAAATAGGTACCTGGGAGTTAGACAGCTGCTACGGGCTGCTTCCTGGGGGTGTGTAACAAAAAGGAGGCCTGGTCGAGGACCGGGCCGCGGGGACGCTAAGCCCCGAAATCATCTCAAAGCCCCGAAATCATCTCAAGATAACCCCCTCTTCTCCACCCCCCCCCCCTCCCCGTACACCTACACCCAGCCTCTCTATTCAGCATGCTCTAGAGTACACCCACTCTTCTCTCATCCATCTCTGATACCCCCCCCCCTCCCCACCCCCACCCTCTCTCCTCACTTGACCCAGCATCTTGGCGAGTCTTAAGACCAAGTTGAGTGTGTCCTAAGGCACTGGACCTTGACAAGACGGAGGGGAGAGGAGAGGCGGGATGTGTCCCCAGCTCATGAGGACATAGAAAATGTCCCAGACATTCTGTGAAGATTCAGGAGGTTGGATAATGTTAATATCAGGAGATGGACTTGATCACTAGCTGGAAATAAGTTCGTGATGGCTGGAGGACTCAGCGTGGCTAGACGGTGCAGGAAATAGACCAAGTAGCGAGTTATTGGGAAGCGGTTGAGAGCGTTCTAAGGAGTGAGGTAAATTGTAAACTGTTCTAAGGTAAAGGACCCTAGTAAGTTAGTAGTGATAATCTCAGCAACTGCTGCAGCTGGTGAAGAGAAAGAACCTGTAGAGCGGAGGCTGGAGGCACACACACACAGCCTCTCTTTATTATGGCAGTGGAAGTGCATGGCCAGTCAAAGTCATTTTCTGGACGTCAGGCTAGTGGGGCCCCTCAAGCTAGAGGTACACGCCATTCTAGCGGTGTCCGCCATAACACTGCACGAGTTAATTACTGCCAAATATAAACTGGTACCATTATCTCCCTACTCACAGTAAGTTGAACAGTTGGGCGAACTGCGTATACCAGCTCTCCACCTGCCAGGAATCGAACCCGCGTAGATAAGCAGTTAGCAACGCTAACCATTACAACACCAGCACGCAGCAGCAGCAGCCCCACCAATAATAATAGATCCTGTGCCACATTACACTCGCTGTGCCCGCCATCAACCCTGACATAACGAAACTGGTCGCAATATGTGGGTTCGGATCCCTCAGGCTCTCGAAAGGTCCTCACGTGAAATCAGTAAGCAAAATGCCATGCAGAAATTTTGTATTTACATGGAGATTTTTCGCCATGTATCGTTCCGTTACTAAAGGAAACCCCTTATTAATTCAAAAACATATCTGTAGACACCTCTGGAGTTTGAATTCGCTCCTCAAGGTTCAGTAAGCACTCACTGGCTACCCGGATGTTAGCGTACACCGATTATCAGAAGTGTATATCTTTGTACCTCTCTATCTTGGAGTGAGGAGTACAGTTTACACAACTGGTAGACATTTCATGGCTTAGTACTATCTGGGAGTGTGGAGTACAGTTTACACAACTGTAGACATTCTGTGCACCGGCCTGGTGCAATGTAAATATTTACTAAATTACCATTTAATATATTGTTCCCTCTGATGAGGCTTCTCTGTTACTGGTCATCAGGTAGCCAGACAAATATTGACAGACTTATCGCTGGGCGTCTCAGATGCAAACTGAACAATGTCCAGCATCAACATAAGTAGCCAATACTCAATTTAGAATATTATATACGAACCGCTAATATAAGTACCTTCAGAATACTTTTGTATGGATATTCAAGGCAGCTTTCATTTTCCTCATGTTCACTACTAATCTGTGGGATTAACAGAGGATGTGAATCTCGATTTCCTTAGATACCTGGCGACATCCGATGATACAATGGGTATTTTCCCCTCTAAATCGCCACACTGCAGCGCAAAAACAAAAAAATTTTGCAATCCTAGGGTCTCTAGTCGTGTCGAGGAGCCTAGTACCCCGCTCTCTGAGAAAGTGCAGGGTGCTCATGCCCCAGGGGCCCCAGCAATATTGAATTATATGCAGATGGCTCAAACCCCCTCAAACTTGAACTTGACTGCTTCCATATATTTAACATCGCCACCTGCTTCACCAACACTGGAAGTGATATCATCCAGGGTGGAGCGACATGCGCACCAGATGCATGCCATTCTATCTTGGCTATATTGTGATCCCATCTGAGTTACAAGCGGGCTTATCAGAATTTTTGAGTCTTGAGATTGATGCCTATTGTGCTGGAAATAGGCTGAGTGACCCTGGTCTTGCACCACCTGGTATGACAAGGGCAGGTAGGGAGAGAACAGGTTGTGGGGTGTACGTGCGAGGCCGGAACCCAACTGTGGCGGCTACAGTTACGGTCCTGCCCTGCAGCCAGGCGGGTGCTGGGCCACTGAAGGAGGTGACGAGGGAAGATTATAGAAGTAGTGAACATGCGATGTAGTAATGAGAATACCAAGATACAGCGCCATAGTTGGGAAAGAGAAAGTAAAAATAATCAAGATGAAAGTAAGAGGGTGATGGATTTAAGGAGAGGGATTAAAGGTAGAAACAAAGTTGTTTTCATTAAAATGCAGCTACCCTACACTGTATGAAGAGTTACATACTTTATGATACTACAACCCCCCTCCCCTTTCATATAGGGCCATGTCATCATAACCTTACCAAACCTCGGAAGCATTATGAGGATATCCTCAAGTATGCGGAAGTGGATAAGTAAATTGCAAGCCTCTATGTAGCTCCCACGGGCAGGACGATTATACAATGGAAAATATGACGTTTCGAAAAACTGTCATTAAATCGAAGTAATTCATAAAATAAACAGTGATGGATATATAATTGTTGTAGGAAATTGAAAGATATATAATGAGAATGAAATTTAGATAAAAGGGTAAAGAGCCTCACGTAGACAACACTGACAGGAGACGTGGCGGGCAAGAAGAGGGGGTCGAACGACGAAGAGAAAGACTGTTGGTCGTTGAGATGTTTTGGAGAAGTAGCAAGGAGAGAACGGTGGTGTTGACGTGATTAGCGACACGTCTAAAGCCTCCGTTTAGCTGTAGGCGCTGCACAATCCTCTCGGGGAGCGGGTTGTGCGGACCTGACGTCTTCAGAAGACACCATAAGATGGTTTGGGGCGACGGAGATGGCTCCCAAGAAAACCCAAGAAGTGGGTAGGTGAAGGTGAAGCTAACAAATTATTATTTCTAACGGGTTGGTAATTAATTTCTATATTTTACAAGATGGTAGGGCTTCAGTAAACCAGTGAGTATTCTTAATGAAAAGAGATTAATTTCTTTCCAACGTCTGCTTTTTGCAGGCTATTGGTAAGTGATGAGAGAGTTTGACAAGGAAGCGTCTTGAGAATATGAAGTGTGGGATGGAAGAAGCGCCCTGGACTCCTCCTCTCTGGTTTATGGCTCATAACTTGAGCTACATAGTCCAAAATGGTGATAATCATTATAGTCACAAAGAACTGTGGAAGTTGTTAGCCTTCAAAGAATTTTATTTCTATGTATATAAGTCAGGCAGTCTCTCACTCTCTCTCTCTAGCCTCACACAGTGAACATATACAGTAACGCACGCTGTGACTAGTAACGGAACATATACATCAGTAGCAGCAACAACAATTGTAAAAAGCAACAAGATGAGGAACAACATAATTAAATGAAGACTCCGGCAAGAGCTATTTATATCACAGTCGCTACATGTATAACTGTACTGTATTATATATATATATATATATATATATATATATATATATATATATATATATATATATATATATATATATTGTGTGTGTGTTTGAAAAATTAACTCTCCAAAGTTCATTTTTATACTTCTCTATAGTCTGACGCCTGGGGATGCGTTACGCAAGATACACCTTACATTTTCAAAGACAATTTTACCGTGTTGTTGTTGCTGTTTAAGATTCAGCTACTGGCAACAAAAAAGTTCCAAGTAGCACGGGCTATGGTGAGCCCGTAGTGGACTTAACTGACACAGGAGCGGGGCTGTGTTTTACCGTGTTGCCATTGGCCGCAGTGCAACAATTAAAAAAAAATGTCTTTTACCGTGTTAAACATCGGATTATATACTCTTTTGGTGAGGTGGAGGATGAATGCCATAACAAGGGGGTATTAAATATATCAATGAATAAATGGATTAAGAGGTGTTAATGAATAAATGGATCGGGTGGGGTGGGGGTGGTATTAGTTGGATAATTGGGTGCTGTGTCTGCATTGGCTCTGGGTCTTGAAGTGGGTAGAATGTAATTATGTGTTAGCTGGTTGTTGATTGCTGGTCTGGACTTCTTAATTAATATGTAACGCCTCGCTGATATCCAATCTCCTGCTGTCGTTATATCTGTCGATGATTTCAGTGTCGCTTGTCAAGATGTCTCTGGTGATGATCTGGTTGTGTATGGACATTACATGTTCCTTGATGGATCCCTGCTGTGTGTGCCTTGTTAATCACCTAGAGAGAGAGATGTTGTTGTCTTGCCTATATACTGAAATCGTTGGGGCTGATAGTCCCCAAGTGGGCATGTGAAAATGAACTTTGGAGAGTTAATTTTTCAACTTCCCTCGACAGTGAAGAAAAACGTAAGAAATATTGAGAAAATTCGTGTTAAAACCATTAATATTACCCTTTCGGTCATATTCAACAACATATGTTTGCAAGAAAGAATGCTACCAAAATATACTAATATATATATACAGTATATATTATATATATTGGTAGTTGATTACTCCTTCAGATTGCCCTCAGTCGACGGAGGGGCAGCTAAAATACCGAAACTCCAATATAAATAACATAGGTGTATATAAGAAACTCTAAGTCTACGTATAAATATTAATTATTCCTCACCTGTACTTGTGCACCAGCTGAGAAGCGGCGGTCGGTGTCAAAACACCATTTCTTGTTTGAGTAGCACTATATTTGATCAACCTTTTCTCCTTAATCACGATACAAACTTTGTGTGCCCTGCCCTCAGGTGGAAGAGCGAGACCTACGGTAAGATCAGCAAATGGTTCCCAATCTTCTCAGCCTACGGGTGGGGCGTGGCCCTGCTCATCACCTCCCTCGCCGTGGCCAGGGACTTCTCTGAGGGCCTTGACCAGTCCGGTCTTCCCAAGCCCAACTTCGGCCAAGCCAGGTGCTGGTTCTCAGGTGAGGCCATGTCTCCATGTCTCCACTAGCTATTGTTTTCCTTGGCTCATATCCCCTACAGGCTGATGATATCCTAATGACTAATGACACACTCTTCATGGATGTCTCTCCACACGAGAAAAAAACTAACTAAACAGGACTAAACAATAGATAAGTAATGAGTAATTTGTGCGGGCATAATTGCCCGAAGGACATCTTTGCCAAGGTAACTAGCGATTCCACAATTGTGCCGTGGCGTGACCTATTGCAAGCTCTCGTGGAACCTAACGGAGATGCTGGACAAAGTTGACTCACTGTTGTGGTGTACTAGAATTGTTATCACTGTGCTAGAACCCCCGACACGGTTGGGTCCTCGCCACTGAGGCAGGAGACACTGTAATGAGGGAGTGAGGCGCGGCTCCCGCCAACCACAATGTTTACATACAACACGTGAGCGATACACGTCACTGTATGGGGTGGGGGGGGGGGGCGGATCTCCCTGACCTGTTATACGCTCCATTCATGAAACACCCTATTACAACCATCCTGTTAGATGAGCGAGTTTTAATAGCACTGGCTATTTCTTGACAAACCATTTTTATATAGTCCAGGATAGCTGCATCAATGAAATAATGATGTATATATAGATCATTATAAAATGCAAATAGTATTTGTGTTGATCCGTTCCCCTATCAGACCATATACAGTATTATGACACTTGAGCAGCGTGAGGGATGGATGTGGTGTAATTTTGTGTAATAAAGTTGGTAGACGATATAATTTTATTGTGTACTCACCTGGTTGTGCTTGCGAGGGTTGAGCTCTGGCTCTTTGGTCCCGTCTCTCAACTATCAATCAACTGGTGTACAGAATCCTGAGCCTATTGGGCTCTATCAAATCTACATTTGAAACTGTGTATAGAATCTGCCTCCATCACATCACTGCTTAGTGCATTCCATTTGTTAACTACTCTGACACTGACAAAATTCCTTCTAATGTCTATTCTTTCTAATTCTGTGTATATGAGTGCATTTTTTATTAACACATTTAGGTACATCTGCATTTGTGCAGCTGCCCAGAACTATATAAAGGGGGAGTACAGTGTGTCAAAAAACTAGCTACTTGGTGCTAAACGCCCCATCACACAGGATGGTTAGTCATACAGAGGCATGTGATAAGTAGTCTGCACTGGCAAACTCTGGGTGCATTATGAAGATATCCTCAAGAACACGAGAGTGAATAAAGTAATTACAAAGCTCCAGGTACTTCATGCCAATGGGTCTGAATGGCCTGATAACTGGGCATTCAGCATTGTGGTGTAATGTTTAGTGTAGCATATTCCTATGGGTGTGACACCAGTTGCACAAGGGTGGCATCTTTATTGCAGGTGTACTCACCTAATTGTACTTGGGGGGTTGAGCATCGGCTCTTTGGTTCTGCCTCTCAACTGTCAGTCAGTTGGTGTACAGGTTCCTGAGCCTACTGGGTTTTACATTTAAAACTAAATGGAATCTGTCCTCATCCCTTTACCTCCTCATGCATTCCATTTATTAACTACTCTGACACTGAAACAATTCTTTCTAATGTCTCTGTGGCTCATTTGGGTACCCAGTTTCCACCTGTGTCCCCTTGTGCGAATACCACCTATGTCAAATAATGTCTTTATCTACCCTGTTAATTTGCCTTAGGTCTCTTCAGTAAGGGTGAGGCATGTTCGGTGGGTGCCATCCCTCTCAGCTAAATCTAGCAAAACTCCAGCTTCTGCTTCATATGTGACTCAATTGGCCTTCTGTTTCTCAAATCAGCTGCTCTCAGATTAATAATTACACATTAATAATCCCCCCCCCCCCTGCTGTTTCAGTTGCTTATGAATGGAATATGATATTCCAATTATTCCATTTACTTGCTTATAGATTCCTCCAGGTGATGCAACCCCCTGGCTTCCCTCTCATGCACACATTCTTTCCTGTCCACAGGTGATGATGCCCTGATCATCTTCTTCTATGGGCCCACGTCTGTTGTTCTGGGCATTAATGTATTGCTCTTCTGTGCCTCTGCCTACAAGCTCTGCTCACTCAACAAAAGTTCTGATGCCAGGCTTTTTCAGTGAGTAGCCAGCTAAAGGTGATAAAAAGATTTAGAGAAAGGAGGAACAATAGATTTTATATTTTGAACTGTATACCACTGTATTTCTTTTAAATGAACCTCTATATTGCTTGGTAATTAGTAAATAATTGCCAAGCTCCATATTTATACTATTATTTCTATATCATCAGGTTCAGTTTGTACCTAAAGCTGTTTGTGCTGATGGGAGTGACCTGGATATTTGAAGTCATTTCATACTTTGTTCAGCGGAAAACCAAAGACCCCAAGACTAACTATGTTTGGTAAGATATAAGCATTTATATCATCTTTACAAGACTTTAATTATACATTTTTTGAATGTGTAAGAATTTTACACTTCTAGAATCAAATTTAGTATCACTAAATGATGGCCAAATTGTTCATTAATTTACATCCTGAATTCAGAAGTCATAAAAATGCACACTTCCAAACATTTTTTTAGCTGTCAATCATCACCCCTCAACAATGAAATAAATAAACAAAATAAGATACAAATTTGATGATACCAAAGTTTAATGTAAATGTAGTCGTAGGATTGAATTTTACCTTTCCTATAAATATGTGGTGTCTTAGTACAGTATTCACCAAATGTGTTACATAATGAGGCTGGACAACCTTACCGACCAATCGTAAATTAAAATGTTTCATTATTTTTCAATAACACTATGTCATCTTTCCAGGTTGGTATTCGACATGATCAACATCATGCAGGGCCTCATAATCTTTTTGGTGTTTGTGTGTCGTCGCGCTGTGCTGATAAGGGTGAGCGAAGTCTTTTGTGGGGTAAGCTATACGAAGAAGAAATTTCCCTCCTATTATCAAAATACAGATGCTGACCTACCCAGTAACGAGATTAAACACTCGGTTATTTGAAGGATCAGCCAGAGCTGTTGTATAGTTCGCCTTGAGATCAAGGAGGCAACATCTGCGTCACCACACCAGAGGTGATAATACTTGATAGATGATGTTGCTAGTTCTGCCAAGTGCCTCAGATGAGAAAGTCTGAGGTACTGTGAAGATGTTGGTGCATTTAATTCATGATATGCATGCATATCCGGATAAATGTTGCATCATCAAACTCAAACTCTGGTAAAAGTTGTACCATAAAATGCATATCCATACTGGTAAATGTTGCACTATAAGATGCAGAAAACATTACCAATTTGTATGCTGATGTTTTCTATTACCCAAAGAAAAAATCAAAATCAATGTTTCCAGCAGGGGAAAAATATTACCTGTCTCATGGAAATGGCACTGTGTGCTATTATACTATATTGTATTCAGATATGAAGTCACTGCTGTCTTAAGAGTTGCTGTTATGGATATACACAAAGGCTTTCATAATTCCATACTATTATGCAGTAAATTTTCCTTCATATTAATAATAAATTGTTACATGATAAGTATTTTTAGACATTTTTTTAACTGGAATTAGAACCCTAGCATTATACACTGAACAGTGTTAATAAAGTAGGCAAGAGATATTGCTGAAGATATGCTTGCTTTATTTGCATATTTATAATAAATGCAGTACTGTAGCACAATTTTTGTACAACAAATGAACGAGAAACTCTCCACTCTGTAAGTAACAATCTGCTTTATGGATTATACATGTAATCCAAAGTAATTAATTGAAACATGTGCATGTAACTAAAACATGTCTTCTTTCAAGAATTAAGTGCCAATGTTTAAATTTAAGTTAATTTTCCATCTCTCTCTCTTCTACAGTGTAACTTCAAATAGAGTTCACTACTATATTTATTTATTTATCTATAACTATCTAACTAACCTGGCTATAGTTCTTCATTGCAAGATATTTTAAGCTTTAACAGTTGTCATGGATCAAAATTATTATTGTAACATAGCAACTTGAACTTGTATAATAAACATCACTTTTTTTAAGGATAAATTTTCAACATTACTGAACTCTTAAATAGACTACAGTATACTGTACCTGTTTTTTAAGTGAGAAGACATTTAATAGATAATCCAACTATAGAAAGTACTGTATATAATTAATTTTTATTCATGGAGTGCAGTCAGCTAGAGGCTTCTTATTTTTTACTTTCCATATTGTTGAAGATCAACTTTCCAATTGAAGTTTGTAATATACAGACAAAACAAAATTCTGTTGTACATACTATTTATAATAAATTTTTTATAAGTATTATTACTACCTAATTAAAAACCAAAATAACCATAAATTTGTTGGGCAAAAGTGTATAACAAAGAAAATTACAAAAAATTATGAGTACTGGGTAAATGAATACATTCAGTAGAAAGGTATGTTCTTAAGAGCAAAACTGGTGCATTATAGAACCAATTAAAAGCAAAGTTTCATGGAAGATATCATGAATGATGGGCATGGTGTACTAATGTAATGTGTTGGATGCAAGGCATTAGTCATGGGTATGATCTCTAAGGGTGAGTTGCAAAGACTTAATTATACTACTATCTTATAATGAAGGCAGAGTTGTTCTGCTATGTTTGGAAAAACATTATTCCACAACATAGTAACACTAATGTAGACCTATGTGCATCCCTGTCCTTTTATATTGTTAATAGCCTATTTCATTCCTGAAGCTTAACTATAAACTGGGATAATAATGATACAGTATTTCAAGTTATGTCTATGTGAAGAATGTATTTTTAATTAACCCGCAGCAAATTAGAGAACCTTGGTTCCATTTCAGAGCACTCTGATATGGCTGTTGCTCTCACCTGATCTTAAGAAACTTGTAACAAAAGGGAAATATTCAGAATGCTTGAATATTCTTGTGACAAGACTTGGGACACATGATCAGTGATCGTGTCTCAAGGATTACTCAGAAGATTTTTGTGTACAAGGTTATTATATAGAGTAGTAATTCATGTACAAGGTCATTATTATATTGCAGTAATGCATGAAGGTTCACTTAAATATATAACCTTCACTTTATTATTTATATTTATTTAAATTTTTTAATAGTGTTAATATGAATGTTTTTGTTTATTAAATATCATTTATGGAAATCCATAGTCATTTGCATTCAACCAATTTCTCATTTTGTTTTGCAGTACAGTACAGTAATTCAAACATTTTATTGCCAAGGCATTTTAAATGCTTTTAAAGTGATGATTCTTTTGAAGTAGCATTTGAAAAGTTGTCAAAGAACAACATACAGTTTAACTACTATAAAAGTGCAGCAGTCACTTTTGAGAAAAGTGAGCATATTCACTTTTCTATAAAAAAAAGTATCGAGAAAAAATTCAGATTTAATTATTAAATAATTATGAGGAGGTAGAGATAATTAAGGAAACCAAGAGGCACTAGTGAATATTCAGCCAAATGCAAACACAAATATAATGTTGCAGAAAAGTTTTTTTTTGTTTTTTATTACTTTCTTTCTGTTCCGTGAACAATCAGGGATAAACTGCCTGAAAAACTACGTAAATACCCCTTCTCTATTAGGGTCTGTGAGGCACACAAGTTTTCTCTTAAATATTTTAACTAGAGCCTCTAATTTCCAGTTTTTGTGAGAGTTGCAGGAATGTAACCTTGCTGATGATGTAAAAGTTTACTGTATATTTCTCAATTACACATACTGTTCTGTATAGTATCATAAAAGGTAATTCTGATGTGTAAGTGAAAATAATTGAGTCCTTTCTTTTAAAATCATGTTCACTTAATAAAGTTCACTAAATAAAATGTGTGCCTGTACAAATTTTGTATATAGATATAGATATACAGTATTTTTTTTTTAAACTTAGAAGGCGTACCACCTCTGGTGCAAGTGTAGGGACCCAGAGCCTCAGAGAAGAAAATAAAGAGTACTCAGAGATATATAAGTGATTAAATAAATACTTCTTAGTGAGTTTATCTTTCTTGTATTATCTTTACAGTGTACCTGCATATTACAAATAAAAATCATTTGGCTAAAACATGTATATGAAGTATTAAACCTTTGAGTTTGGTCACTGAGAAAAAATTATGCTTCAATGATCAAACACAAATTTATTATACAGTAACTTCAAATGTTAAGGCATAATATAATTTTTATGTTAATAATAGTAAAGATTTTATGCACTGATAATGTACATATCATTGCGTAGTACAATACACAGCTAATAATTGTACAATTTATTGTGAAAGTTGGATGACGATACGAGAGATGACTTAATTTAGTGGGTGTTATCTGTGTGTATATTGTCAGTGTTGAGTGAAGTGTCACATTATCTGAGGGTGAAGATGACCTTCAATAATCTCTTACCAGATGATCTGAGCATGATTCCTCTTGTCTTGAGAAGTCAGATTGCAATTCCTGCGCCTTGATGTTCCCATATATTGTATGCACCATGTATTAGAAAAAAAGAAAGTTAGTTCATCAAAGCACAGAAAATTAGTATGCACTGTATTTTAATTTCAAAAATTGTCTTGAAACCTTAATGTAAAAAAAAAAAATCATTGTGATGCTGACATAAATCTTTAGAAATGAGTCGTGTCTGTCGGGTCCCATTGCTCCTAAGCATGTTTTATATGAGATCATTTTTGTGCTGCGGTTTGTTATAAGTTGCATATAAATTACACATTTTTATAGCATGTGTTTCATTGATCTTCTGACTAATTTGGAAATATGAAAACATACTGTACATTTAAACATTTATGCCATGGAAGATGACTCTTCAATTCGGTGTATTCCCACTTACATGGTACAGTGCTGTATTTATATTCTAGCACTAGGCCTATCTGAATATGTTCAAGCTGTTATAAATTTATAACACAATAAACAATTTATTTAATATATGAACATAGCCTTGTAGCAAGGTAAGAAAATAATAGAAATATATCAACAGAAACCTTCCTTTTAATCAGAGTCAGGCTGTATTACAGTGTACAAAAGGCACTATGTAAGGCATAATTAAATACAAAAAATGTCTAAAAATGCTCACGGTAAACAAACTTTTGAAAAGGAATAAGCTACATAGTTCCACAAAATGGAACACACAGTTTAAAATTTAACAACATAAGTTGGATTTACCAAGCCTATGTATGGCACCACCGCCTGAAGATTGCCAAAACACACTAAAACGACAAAGCATCTTGTTGGGAGTTTTATAAAATGTTAATGTAAATAGTATTATAATTACTAATGCATTCACATCATCATAAGACAATCCACATTATCCAAAAGAGCATTTATCTGAATTATTAACAGAATAAATACTATTACAGAAGCCAGGCACAAGATATAAGGAAGTTGCTACAGCATTGACTAGAAAAATTAGATAAATGATGTAAATTTAATTGTTTCCAAAATCAAGATTGGGAAAGTTTGTTTACCACTGTGCTACAGGAGACACTTAGCCTGAGGAAAGATTGTTTGCTGGCACGACAGATACCTTCAATACTTGTAATCATTCATTTATCTATCATAGCTGGAGTCAAGCCCAAACTCCATCTTTAAAAATAACAAAAATTAAAATTATATATGATCTATTCAAACCAAATATGTAAAAAAAAAAAAAAAAAAAAAAAAATCTCATTGTCCTACAGTATTTCAGTTTTGCATAAAGATGGGTTTTGGTAAAATAAATATGTAACAGTAGTAGACCTTCCAGGTAATACAGATACAGTGGACCCTTGAGTGATGAGTGGTTCCAGTTACGAGCATTTTGAGTAACGAGCAAGCCACTCGCAGAAAATATGTCTCGACAGATGAGCTTTCGCTCGATTAACGAGCATTCCCGCTGGTTCTCGGACGTCTCCGACGACAGTTTTGTTGTTATTTTGCAAGACGAGTTTTCCACATGACGAGCTCGGTGCCGGAACGCATTAAACTCGTTAATCGAGGTGCCACTGTAGATTAAGTCACTGATTAAAACACTTGAGAAGTTTATTGCCTAAATTCTAATAGATAACTTGATATCAAAATTAAATGAGGCTCTGTTATTTTGCACAAGACCTAATATTCTAATGCAAATAACACACACACTCAAGATTGAAAAACAACTTGGTATAACTAAAGAAAAAGAAAAAAAAGCACGTCAACTTCTAGCTGTGAATGATCAAAAGCTAAAAACTATGCTTCTCTACACTGATCTGCTTGAAAAAACAATCTTAAGCTTTTATTTTGTTTTGGTTATCTAAAAATCTGCCTTTCAAGTTGTGTAATTTACTTGAAAATTAATGAAATATATATACTGACTATCAAGACCCTTAAAACTTTATTCCTGTGAGCTCTAGATATGTACTGTACTGTAGATCTATTATAGATTCAGTACTAAAGCATAAGCAGCTTATGAAAACAGTATAAATTTTCACAATGAACAAGATTATTATTTTTTAAATCTTATTACATGTGTAGGTTCATAAAATAAAATATAAAGAATCATAATTTTTTCTGTATAAATTAAAATAATATTAATTACAGTATTGTAATTTATACAGAATAATTTCATGATAGTGTTTCCCAAGTTTCCATTACAGATTTACACACAATATGAATTGCACAGGACTCAAACCTAAAACATTTGGCACTAAATATATTTCTTACTCAGAAATGGGATAGTACAATAGGAAACAATGCTTCAGTAATGCCAAATTCATTTTGGCTGCATTTCTTTTACAGTTCATTGAATATACAGCCTTTGGAAGCTTAACATCAAAAAGACAAACTGACTTATTGTAAAATTTAATGAACTTGTAGTGTTAAAACTACTGCATGTATCTTATTACCGATAATTCTATTATACATAAACAAGCCGCTTATCATATATGTGACAGACAAGATGAAGAAAACTATTACAGTATACGTTTCTAAATTCATATGGCACGCTTTCACAGTATTCTCTTTATTTTGGTACAATGCTCATTACAATCCTTGCAGTATTATGGACACATATGATATCCCCTTTTGAATACAACTGCACAGCAAATATCAAGCATACTACTTAAATTCATTTAATGCAATATGAACATTTTGATTGGTTTTCTATGACAAGGGGTATCAAATAGTATGACCAGTGACGAGATGCCACCTAATACAATGGAGTGACAGGTGACAAAATGCCACCTAATACAATGCCTATTTACACCCAGCATATCTTACAACTGGCACAGAAAGATATGTTTCAATCATTGGGGCAGTGAACCAACTATTCTCTTTCACTCACTGAAATCATTTCTATGTCAGATGATCTAATTTACTAAACTAGAAGATCTAATTTGTTCTAATACATTCCTTATACATAGAAAATTTGTCATGAGTGAAGAACTACAATTTTTGTCATTCTCTGTGAACACTGAAGTTCATGATTTGTTATTGCACAGCCCAAACAAATATTTATGTCATGCATTACACTAAACTTTTATGCTGTAAATGTATTTTATATGATTTTTGTTACTTCAAACTAAAGAATTTTAAGTTTAATTAGTGTTAGCTGGGCTGATGAATATGAAGTAATTAAATTTACTTGTTGTGGAAAAGACCATTATGTGTTCTCTGATGTCAATAGATGATCACACAATAAAGTAGATGAAAGGAAATGCTCCCCATTATCAATTTTAGTTTTTTAAAACAAGACAAAAAATGAAAAAAACAGATTCAACCCTTTTAAAGTATTAATAAACAAAAAACTTCATGGCGTCATGAATTTGTTGACTGACATACATTTAGAGCTCAATAAGATTGTACCCATTGTGAGTTTTTATACTTGCACATTTTGAAATTGAGCAGAAGATGTTACATTTTTTATAATTTTGTTTAATAAACAAATACTGTACAACATAATATACACTATACTAACCTAAGATGTGCATAGAAAGGCAAGCATGGAAACACACAACACAATATGAGCAGCAGCGTTGAACAGTTTGGTTGTCTGGAGAACCTAGCAGGAGGCCTGGTCACAGCCCTGGCCATGGGGACATTGATCCTCAGAATCATCAACAGGTATAACATCAGCAGCATAACTTTTGTATTTCAATGTATTCCTTACAATTAATGATACCCCAATCTGCAAATGATTAAATATGCACGAACAGGTAATGAGTGACAAATGACTGCGCGCTCTCTCTTTCTCTCTCCTGTGAGTTAACATCAGCAAAAAACATCCCGGCACTGATTAATGCTAAGTCCTGTTACACACTGATTTACATCATATAAACATTCACTGTTGAATTTCCAAACATAATATTGAATTAAGAGGAATTTAGTGAGATTCCGAGAGTAAATCTTGATACATTCTGCCAATATGTGGAATATATATATTAAGCACTTAAAAGGGCAATTTACTAAAGTGTCCTAATTGTATTTATTTATTCCACTGAAAAAAAAAATGCCCGTGGAAAACAAAAATAATTGTATAATTGTACCATATATAAAGCAATTGTACTACAGCAAAATAATTTGACTCTGAGTTGGAAATTATGTGCAAGTATATAACAGTACTGTTACAGAGAAAGGTTGCTCACACCCAACAGAATCTTTTTCACAATTCAGATATCTTATGATACAACAAAGGTACAGTTTTGTAACAAGTCTTTTACAAGGACAGTCTTCATTATGAGTTACTTGTTACTATATACCGGTCTGAGGATCTGATTTAGCATCATCCAAGTATGCCAAGTAGAATATCTGCAGCTCGCATGAAGTCAAATAAAATGAATGCAGATTTGCAGTCTAACCTCCTTTTATCCATTCATATATGCAAGAAACTATATTTTATGAAAATAAAGTTTTAATACTGTACATAGCAACCATTAAAATGCGTATAATTTTATCTTCCATTCTATTCATTCAAATACTGTATTATGAATCCTCTGAGAGAACAGCTCATTGATAATCACTAATGGCTATGAATATTTAATTAAACTCAAAATAAAGCTGTTTTTTTAATTGTTAATCTAACTTAGAGCACCAGGATACTGAAAGTATTTTAGAAGATGACAAATTCAATGTATTTGTTAATATATTAGGCAAGACATAATACCCAAATTAGCTCTTCAATAATATCACTAGTAATACTTCAACTACCTGCCTTTCTATGCCTCTTCAATGAACATATCCACATTTGGAAAGTATTAGTCTGAGACGAGAAGTAAAGCTAGCAAATGCATTATATAAATTCAAAGCTTAAATTTTATTATATACAGTATAAAGCGTTCGACAAAGCATGTCTACTTTAATATTTTCTTTTCTCTGAAAAAAAATTTGACAGTCAGACACACACACACTTTACTTGTACATTAAATAGTTTAAATTTATCTTCAAATTCTGAAATACATTTTTATATGACTGCATTCAGAGTAATAAATACATTACAAAGTACAGTAATTCTATTTATGCAATCTATGAACACAACATTATGTATACATACAGTCACCACCATCATCATGTATACATACAATCAATGACATCATCATTATGTATATATATACAACTAATACCATTATAAATATGTATATTATACAATCAATATCATCATCATGTATATATACAATTAACATAATCATCACCTATAGATTTGGAATTTCAAGATTCTTTACTCTTACCAAATTATCCAAGTGTATCTACTCCTCTGTTTTAAGAGACTTGACCTTGTAGTTTCCCTGGCAGAGACAGACACGCATGTAGGCTTCCTGTGTGAGATGGTAGTCCCTGTACGGTGGATAGAGGCTGGATTCTAATTGCTTCAAATTTTCTATCAGAAGAGACTCGGCCTTTTCTAAATTATAAGCTTCCATTTCTTTACATGCAGCTCTGAAAGTTTGTTCAGTGTTCTGGAAGAAAGGAAATTTTATTGTCTTTTGCACTCTCTCATACACAAGGCAGTCATTTTTTGCTTTTTTTACTGAATAGTACATTGTTCTAAGTTTCAGTGAAAAAAAAATATGGTTATATATGTAGATGAAATGGTACCAAACCTGTCTAAGGCAGCTGTTCAGGATACAAATTTTTTCTCCTGTGATTGGTTTGAAAGTTTTATCAAAGATAATCAATATGAATTACATGAACATTTAAAAGACATACCTGAAGATTTTTCAGTGCAGACAAAATGTTTGTCTGATCACCACATTTTTCACACTTGATGAATGGAATCATGAGATTATCAGTGTCGACAGGTAGGGGACCTTGGCATTTATGACATTTGAAGGTCAAATATGAATTGGTCATATCCTTGTACATTGGCCAGTCCTTTTGACAAGCCTGTAGATTACAAAAATTATGAATTATTGGTTTTAAATTCTATTATTACAACAATAATAAAATTATGAAACAAATGTAACATCCTTTTTTATGATCAGATATTCACGAATATTTATCATGCCATTCCCTTTCCTCGGAAATTACAAAGCTATCACATAAGTTAAGAGCAATTTCCTAAGGCAGGGTCAGAGAATCATCCTAAATGTTACTGCATAGTTATTTAGTATTTATATACGCAATAATGAAATCAGCTTTATCAACACACTCAAATCATCAACATGGTGCAAATTGACATGAGGAATTCCCACATTCAAATACTGTACTCCTAAACCTCAAGTATGCTAGACATAGAATACTCAGTGAAATCATAACATAATTCTCAAACAAAAGAAATGCAGAAAATAGCATTAAAGCTTTGTGAAAATAAGAACTAACTCAAGACCATATATCAAATCAAATCAAATCAAATGTTTATTCAGGTAAAGTACATACATACAATACAAACGTTGATGGATTTATAGATAGAGCTAGTACATACAAAGCTTAAAGCCACTATTACGCAAAGCTTTTCAGGCAGAAACGCTTTGTGTACATATAAGTACAGTACAATCAAACTAGGCCTTGGAATGCCATCTGAAGCAAACCAAAAAACTGTTGCCACATTGGAATTGTGAGAAGTAAGATTTGTAAGAGAAGTATTGTGAGAAGTTCAGTTCAAATCAACCTGAATATAATATTAGTCTACAGTGCATAACTGACCATAAAGGGGTAAATAATGATTAATTATAAGTAACATAAAAATTAAAACTAAATTAAGAGAACAAGAAAACTGCCCAATTTAAAAGATGTAACATAAGCTGCTCTTGCCATTAGCTATTGAAATACTATACAGTACTCTATACACAGAAATCACAATAGCGTGATGCATCAAATGAACAAATCCACAAGCGCCGTGAAGAGTGTTCGAACCTACGTCCGAGAGCATCCCAGACGCTGCCTTAATCGACTGAGCTACAACATGGTAAAAGAATTGCAACCAGATCTACTGCCCTTCCTTGGACCCTGCAGCCTCTCCAAGACACAAACCAGGATTTTATGTATTTCCCCCATGCACTCGAGCTCTGTCAATAGGCCGTTCTACCTCTTAGCCCTTACTTCAGTACACACCGAAATCACAATAGCGTGATGCATCAAATGAACAAATCCACAAGGGCCATGATGAAGGTTCGAACCTACGTCCGAGAGCATCCCAGATGCTGCTTTAATTGACTGCGCTATGACATGGTAGTCACAACAACAACAACAACATGCATATATACAACCTTGCAAGTACTATGCAAAAGTAACAAGCAGATATGAAAATAGGAACTAATTGCAGATTCTCACATCCCCCAGATTTATGAATATGATAAGAAAGTAAACATTCCCTTTTGGAATAAATTGCTGATAACAGTACTGTATTTCCAATGTAAATCATGAGTCCTCAAATGATGAAAAGGGGTGCTGGAACTTAATGTGTAATTGCAATATGACACATTCCAAACAAGTATGTCTACAATACCCACTTTTACACAAATACTAGTATTATAAAAATTGTATGAAACATACTACCACACCTGTACAATTTTAGATATTATATATCTATTCTGGATAATTTCTCACTTTTTAACATACATTTTTTTTTTTGCCATTTCCATTTACAGCAAATCATCAATTCTCTTAAATAAGATTGAATTTCAGTGTCATAACTACCTTATAGATTAAGCAGCTTCCACTATTTAAGCAGAAATTTATGTTTAAGCCACTTCCTTACCTCACAGTTGCATTCAAACCAGTATCTATCTGCTAACTCAGCCTTTCGTTGACTCTTGACTTTGGAGGTGAAGCTCTGTCCATAGTTTTCTGGGATGAGATCACCCTTTCGTACATGTCTGATTGCCTTAGTAATAACCTGGTTGCCACTGAAGAGTCTGCAAGTTTTAAATGCATTAAATAAATAAATATACACACGCAGCTCCTCTCTGAAGCAGGTTGATGAGGATTTCAGGGGAGTAAGGCAGGTCCTTGCAAACAATGGATATTCAAACAATTAAATAGAAGATATTATTAAAAGGAAGATAAACTGCCATGTTTCCTCTAATGAAGATGTCAACTCTAGAGAATCTGTCCCACCTATTAAACTTCTACTACGGGATTTTTTTTCAATGGTGCGCAAAACTGAGGAAAGAGTCCTGAAAGATATAACTGACAGAAATGTGACTCCTACTAACATTAACTAGAAGATACAGCTAATCATACATTACAAAGCTAAGATTACCAATTTTCTAATAAGGAACTCTCCCAACACCAAGTAAAATACCTTGAATGATACAAATGTCTGTTTTAAGGCACCTAGCAATGAATAAACAACAAGGTTCTGTCAAGGATCACATCATTTCAAAACCCAACCAGATCATCACCAGAGATACTTTATGGGCTATTCATGCTCATGCCACCTCTTGGGTGGCTTAATCTTCATCAATCACCAGAGATATCCAGACCAGTAACATTTGAATAACTGACAGAGACAATGACAGTAAAAGATTAGACATTGACATCAAACTTTTAACAACAGCAAATGATTGATTACCATGTATATTTTACAAGCAAAATATGTGCTATACATAGATAAAGTTATTCCCACACAGCATCTCAACTGATTTCTAAAAAAAAAAAAAAAAAAAAAAAAAAAAAAAAAAAAAAAAAAAAAAAAAAAAAAAAAAAAAAAAAGCAACTTCTCTGGGCCACTATAGCTAAACCACAAGAGGTAAAGACTTTTTACATGAATTTTCATGTTCCCTGGATGCTAATTAACAATTTCAAAAGAACAATTTTCAGAATAATTTTGTTTTGCTCACTATGAGGTTATCAGCTCTTAACAGTTGTGTACTCCAGGGGTTAATAAAACCACTAATACACAAAAGTGCTTTGGGCATAGCGTTTAAATTAATACAGTTAAAGTGTTTAAAGGTTTGATGAGGTAGACAATACAGTACTAACTTACTTAGCTTACTAAGTAAACTAACATATAAATTGTTCAAGAAATTTAACAAATGACCTACAGCTTTAAGGGAGGGTATAACATAAAAAAAAGATTAGGAGAAAATAAATTTGTGTAATGGGGAATACATACTTTAATTTAAATGAGATTTGGGCGATATTCATATTACGTGACTTTGTAATATGTATTAATGCTGATTCAACAATATTTATGTTTAAAGATCTCTTACAATTGGTGATCCTTATTGGTCTAATTGAATAAAATATTATTACCTATAATATTGCGAATTGTAATTTATATAACATGGATGAGGGGTAGATTGCCACCACATACTGCACCTCAATAGTGCTCCAGGGAAGGTTCAAAACTCCAACTGAGTAGCAGATTGGCTGCTTACTAAAACATCCTTAGTGTGAGCATTCTGGCCTGGTTGGCAGGGCAATAGAATCATATCTACAGGTAGAGTTCCATCCCTGACATTTCCAGGTGAGCGACAACAGTACAAGGGACCATAGGTGGATGGTGCAAACACAGGTGAGTGAGAGAAATGTAAGAAAATATTTATGTGCAATATTTTCAGTGGTGAAAGGAACCATTATTCATAATTTCAAGATCAAGTATGATTGACTACTGGAGAGTTAGTACGATACAATAACTACTGTTAATACAGTAAAATAACTATGTGGCTTGTCTTCAGACAATAATTTTAGTAAATTGTGTTTAAGATTTTGGATTACTCCTTGTAGATACAAATATAGTGTAAACTTACCTTTACATAATTTCTTAACCAATACAAAAAATACTTAAACATATTTCATATATCATATCAACATATCATATTACATAACATATTTCAACAGTAATAGGTAATACTGAAAACATACAAATTTCTAAGAAAATACTACTGTACAACATATTTAAGCTAAACAATGTGAATTAGATGATTTGCCTCCTAACAGTCATAGCAACTTCCTGTAAAGAATTCGATTCCCTTAAATGTTCATTCTCTCAAAAAGAAAAAAACCATTACGGGATGACCAGCAGTATTCAACACATCTACTCAAACAGATAATTGACTATATGATGAACTGATGAACAGATGAACTTATAAAGTGTGATGAACTTTACTTAATCAAATGTGATAAAGCACTTGTGCCTTCTTCCACCAACAAATACAAAAACAACAGCCTCACCTGACTTGTGCACTGTGGCAGGAGTGGTTGAAGAGGGCAAGTGTCGGGTATATTGCTGCACCCAGGGACTCATTCTTGGCTCCATCGAAAGTCCTAGGTGCTATTAACACAAACTCGGAGACCTCATGGGCATTGAACTGCACTATCTAAAATAAAGAAACACAGTAGCATTAGGAAAAATCCCTCACCATATAGTAACAACAGACTTTCTAAGAGGGTTCCATGGTAGATTTTTCATTTGAAGAAATATTGTACTGTAGGCAGTAGTGCGTCATATATTCATGAGATATAACACTGATTAACATAACGTAAGAATACCACCTTGAAACTGTAATCCGAATATATTTGTACTAATTACCTCTTCGATAATCAGGTTTAGGCTTCATCAACTAAGCAGGTATATTTATTTATTCAGGATACTATACTATAGTCAGAATGAATGGGGAATGGGTTTTCAGTGGTATTTAGTCGGAACTTGCATGCAATGTTTCACTATACCGTACTTTTATATTTTTCAAATAGAATCTGGTTTATTCTCAACTCACAATCACGAATTCCGGGTCACCAAGGTACTTTTTGGTGTTACTTTTGAATAAGGGGTAGGTTTGACAGCCTTTTAATTCGTTATGGAGGGAGTTCCATAACCTAGGTCCCTTTATTTGCATAGACTGTTTACACAAATTTACTTTGGCTCTGGGGATATCAAAGAGATATCAATTTATTTCCGATGTGGTGATTATGGGTTCTATTACATCTGTCAAGGAAGCGTTTCAGATCAGGATTTGCATCTAGAATTATTTTTTTTTTACATGTAAATGGCACAAGAGAATGTGTGGAGTGAGTTTATGTTTAGTATGTTGAGGGATTTAAACAGGGGGCTGTCTGTTGTCTGAAAACAGTTTGTTATTGTTCTGATAGCAGATTTTTGCTGGGTGATGATGGACTTGATGAAGTTTGCAGTGGTTGAACCCCATGCACAGATAGGGTATGTAAGATAGGGATAGATTAGCATGTAGTATAATGAGAGGAGAGCAGAGTTTAGAACATAATATCTGATTTTAGAAAGTATACCAACCATTTTTTGAGACTCTTTTTGGCTATGTGTTGAATGTGGGTGCCGAAGTTGATTCTCTTGTTGATTTGCTTCCAAATAAAATGTAATAGGACTTTTCTATGTTTAGTGTGAGTTTGTTGGTTGCCATCCATGAGTGGACTTTTTTAATTCGTTATTTACAACATTATTTAGTGTGTGTGGCTTAGGGTCTAGTAGATGAAGGTAGTATCATCAGCAAATAGTATAAGTTTAAGAAAGAGTATGACATTAGGGTAGTATAAGTTTAAGAAAGATTGTGACATTAGGGAAATCACTGATGTATATAAGAAATAGAAGAGGTCCTAGTATGCTGCCCTGTGGCACTCCTATGGTTAATGGTAGAGTGGGGAAGGTTATATAATTGATGACTTCATATTCATGTCTATCACTAAGATAGGATTGAATATAGTTCAGGTCAAGGCCTCGGATTCCCATAATGGTGGTAAAATTACTATTCATTAAAGCTTGATTGTACTTAGTAAGGTTTAATTATGCTTCAAATTATTATCTGGTTCTGCAAACAATGTCATGGCTGGGGAAAAATGCATGCAACCACACAACCTCATTGTCTTTATTCATGGATTTTATTTAATGGCCTATATGTCTAGAATCTACCAGTGTTCAGCTTTCCAATCAAGTCATGTGTTTGCTGAGACTTTACAATGGCTAGTTTACAAACAATGAGATAACTCTGATATTATTTTGTTGTCACATGTGTCCTCTAGATTGAGGCAGTAAAACCACAACATTTAAACATTACACTCCTCACTAGAACACTGATCTTAATACACTTATTTCCTTATTTCTTTGAAATATAATATTGCTGATGTACAAAGTTTCATCACTGAATTATTATTAGTTTTATTAATAAGAACTCATTACATAAGAGTATACTGGTTGAGAGAGTCAAGGGGCAACGAGACACTACACAGAGAAAACAATGAGGGTTTCACATTTTAATCTGACTACTCCCCACCCCTCTCATAATAGTCTTAGCTGCTAATCCTTTTAATACCATAATTTGTAAACAGACTGAGTAAGATTTCATATTTTGATTGTCTCTATAGAGAAGCTAGATTTATATTGGGAAATACTATTATAATAATTAATAATACAGTACTTGTAATTCCCTTTGTTGGGGACAAGCAGCCTATGTGTCTGTATATACATACATTTATTTAGGCCTATATCAAAATCTTCCAAGGTTGAACTACTGAACTTTCCAGGATGCGACCCCACAGCAGTTTACTCTCAGATACCTATTTACTGTTAGGTGAACAGAGACATTAAAGTGAAAGGAAATGAGCCCAACTATTTCAGTCCCATCTAGGATTCAAACCCAGGATTCCCAATTGTGAGTTGAGAACAAACCCAGAAAGCAAGACTCCTGTGCTGCTTCTGACTATTCCACTGACCTGAAGGAACCGCAACAGGAGTCCTCCCACAAAAGCCTCTGTATCACTAATCTTGTCACCTGATGGAAGATAAAAATATATGTAGTTAACTATATAAGTGGCTCATACTTGATTATTCAGTCATTTCATAGCTTTGTGCATTTTATCCAACATTATAATTGAAATAGATTCATTATATAGTATTTATCTATAAGCTCATGCATTCATCCAGAGCAAGTAATATTAGAAAAAAAAGGAAGCCATCAAATGGATATTATATATGGTATTGTTAGGATGGATTTTTCAATAGTGCATTCTGCATATTACAGGCAAGCTTGAGCAACTAACTACCACTGCATTTACCTAGCGCCATCTAATATATAACATTAAAGGCGGAGTTATGCTAATATTTTGAGCTAAGCCAGTATTAAGGAAAGTTGAACGCTTTACCAACCTTTATCCTTAAATAGAGGATACGCTGTTCCAAGAAGGCAAGATCAAAAAGTTATTATCTAGATACTGAGGTCAGTTACAAATAAACATCATACCTAGTTAATTAGACTCTGAAATTTCAAATTTATATTAATCTTGTTTAATTTAATGTTGAAAAGGAATTATAGAGCAGAATCAATTGAAAATTGCACAAGTTACACACTGAAATCACAATAGCGTGATGCATCAATGAACAAATCCACAATGGCCGTGACGAGGATTCGAACCTACGTCCGAGATCATCCCAGACGCTGCCTTAATCGACTGAGCTACGACAGGGTAGAAGAGTTGAAACCAGAAGTTGTACCTTACTTACTTGGATCCTGCAGCCTCTCCGAGACTCAAACCAGGGTTTTACACAATTCCCCCATACACTCGAGCTGTGTCAATAGGCCATTCTATCTCTTCGCCCTGTGTGTAATGAAGAAAGGGTGAAGAAGTAGAATGGCCTATTGACATAGCTCGAGTGTATGGGGGAATTGTGTAAAACCCTGGTTTGAGTCTCGGAGAGGCTGCAGGATCCAAGTAAGTTAGGTACAACTTCTGGTTTCAACTCTTTTACCATGTCGTAGCTCAGTCGATTAAGGCAGTGTCTGGGATGATCTCGGACGTAGGTTCGAATCCTCGTCACGGCCCTTGTGGATTTGTTCATTTGCATAAGTTACATTTCAATATACCTAAAATATGACAAAAGTACTGCATTGTAAAACGGATACACCGGGATTCTAACAAGGATCCAAATAAAATTATATAAAAATACAGTATATTTAAGTACAGGGTGGACAATTTTTAATTTAATTAACACTTATGATGGAGATACTGTACCATGTGTTCATTTAGTTTAGTGAAAGGATGAAGAATAAAAGATACAAAAATAAATATGAATACAGTAAATGTAAAAGTTTTAATTTATAAGAATATCACAGATTATTAAACAATGTAGTGTTAGCTACAAAAGAGTACATTGCTTGAAAGTAGTTACTGGAAAAATCTAATCCTTTAAAAAAATATATATATATATAAAGAGGTGGGGTATTAGGTAGGTAAGTAGATAGGTAGGTAGGTAGGTAGGTAGGTAGGTAGGTAGGTAGGTAGGTAGGTAGGTAGGTAGGTAGGTAGGTAGGTAGGTAGGTAGGTAGGTAGGTAGGTAGGTGGGGTGGGTGGGTGGGTGGGTAGGTGGGTAGATGGGTAGGTAAGTAGGTAGGTAGGTAGGTAGGTAGGTAGGTAGGTAGGTGGGGTAGGTAGGTAGGTAGGTAGGTAGGTAGGTAGGTAGGTAGGTAGGTAGGTAGGTAGGTAGGTAGGTAGGTAGGTAGGTAGGTAGGTAGGTAGGTATGAGAGGGTTATGGCTCAAACACCAAGTGCTGGAACTTGACATCATTCAGCACAATAGGAGATAGAGTGATTGAGTCCCAAGTAACATGGATAAGATGAGAACACATGACCAAATTTATATATTGAGTGTACAGTGCAGCCTTGCTCAAACAGACTGTGTTAGACTAGAACCCTTGGTGGGATGGAAACAAATGGCCAACGAACAAGCTCTTATGACTGACTAGCCCGACTCTGCCGAAAAACAACCCATATTTCATATTTTTTACAGTTTTGTTATTTGTCTGCAGTGGTGCAATGGTCAGCACAGTCACGTCACAGCTGAATGAGTTCAATTCTCACGGTGTGACAGAAGCATTTTGAAAATATTTCCTTCCACCTGATGCCTTTGTTCACCTATCAGTAAATAAGTATATCCAGGAGTCAAACAACTGCTCTGGGTTGAATTCCCTGGCAAGGTCAGTCAGTAGTTGGTCTAGGGGAATGCCCTTGATAACCAAACATAATATTATTTAATTTTTGCAAAATATTTCTTTACTTTAATATAATAATACAAATTGTGTAATGAGTTGTGTATATAACATTTTTTGTGGTGGACATAGCCCTATTATAAACAGATCAAACTGCTTTTTCCCTCCTGCAGTCATGCAGGAGTTCATAATACTGTACAGTGTATATACTGGTACATATGGTACATGAACAGTAGAGGATTCATAAGACAAGTACAATGCATATGCAAAGTGTTTTGGGCAGGACCTCTCAGTACTGAACTTGGTGATAAAATATTTATTTGGTTATTTTGTCATTTGTGAGCTAAAATGATGTCTACCTGCAGTAGTAGTCAGGCTAATGCTGAAAAAAGGAAGAGGTATCTTAACATGAAATCATAAAAACTTAAATACATTGAGAAAATTGAGCAAGTCAGAGGAGTGTAAAATGAGAAGAACTGGTGGCAATGGCTCAAAGTGAAATTTGCTGATGAAATCAAACCATATGGAGTTAGATGAGGCTGTTTATAATTGACTTATGTACCAGTATAATGTGTCAGTTTTGTTTAATGCTTGTTTTTATTTACGACAGTCCTGTACAGTAGTACAGTTCTGTATACCCACATTCCTGCTACAAAGATTAACAAAGAAAACATACATACATACATACAAACATACATACAGTATACATGTATGTATGTATGTACTCACCTAGTTGTGTTTGCGGGGGTTGAGCTCTGGCTCTTTGGTCCCGCCTCTCAACTGTCAATCAACTGATGTACAGGTTCCTGAGCCTACTGGGCTCTATCATATCTACACTTGAAACTGTACAGTATATGTAGTCTGCCTCCACCACATTATTTCCTAAAGCACTCCATTTGTCAACTACTTTGACAATAAAAAATTCTTTCTAATGTCTCTGTGGCTCATTTGAGCACTTAATATCCACCTATGTCCCATAGTGCATGTGCCCCTTGTGTTATCTATTCTATCAATTCTTTTAATAGTTTTGTATGTGGTAATCATGTCCCCCCCCCTAACTCTTCTCTCTTCCGGCGACGAGAGGTTTAATTCCAGTAGTCTCTCCTCATAGCTCATACCCCTCAGTTCAGATACTAGTCTGGTGGCAAACCTTTGAACCTTCTAAAGTTAAGTCTTATGCATGACTAGATATAGACTCCATGCTGGAGCTCCATACTCCAGGATTGGTCCAATCCTGGAGTATGTTACATTACTAATCCTACACTATGTATGTATGTATGTATGTAGGAAGACATCACCTCTGGTTATATTAATGAGGAACCTTAACCTCAGTGAATAGATAATACACTTCTTTGGGAGTGTAAAATCACACTTGCAAAACCCTTATTATTGCATAATAAAATATATAAATGGCTTTAAGTATAGTATCTTCAAACCAAGCACCTATCTCAGTTTTCAAAACACAGACTAAAATGGCAATAGAGCTGATGCTGTGCTTACTGGATGCAGTGCCTTTGCCTTCAAAGTATTTTGTTTTCTTGAGAGCTTTCAGCATGAAGACAATCATAATGCAGCGGTGGAAGAAATCTTCGGGTGTGCGGTGTTCGGCATGATGTACTAAGTGGTAAAGACGAAGGAAGTCTGTTGGATCATACACCTGCTTGTTGTTGGTTGTCTCCTGCAAATGACATAGTCACATTTAACATCTGATAATTATAATAATAAACTCTAAAACATTTATTTATAAGCTTGCATCTAAAACAAAACTAATGTTCTATATTGTATTAGTATTGTACACTGTACTATATCACTTGTAATTAACATAGGTTTATCATTCCTTCAAACACAGGTGTTTGAAGGAATCTTTATCATAGATTTATCAATCCTTCCGTATATATATATCTCGGTTACCTTTGGATCTTCTTCAGTAAGCTGTTCTTTAACATCCAAGAAGAATGATAAGGGATACTGTGTGACCAATCTGAATGCCAAAAAGCAATTAATAGACATTCCTGATCCTACAAGAAGATCAAGGATTGGACACTCAATAGTGTGGAAGAAGGATTCCTGACGGCACTCTGCTGAACAAAACAACACACTGGAACATTTTTTGCAGGGAATTGCAGCTTTGGTTCTGAAGGAGAAAAAATTATACATACTGTATGCAGAGATGTTTTGGTTATTTTCAAAATATTTCTTTCCATAGTAATATATTCTTAATAAAATAATATATTACAATGCAGTATAGTACAAAACATTAAAACATGAATTACTGACTATTATGTTAGGTTAAGTTTTATCAAAGTGAAAAACTTTATTATTCAATAAGAGCAAATAGTTAAAAAAAAATTAATGTTTCAGGAAAATTCAGTTTCTTTGGCATCTCTGGTTATTAGGTTAAAAAAGGGTGGTACCCAGTAATGTCCAGGTCTGTCTGTCCACCCCCTCTCCCTTCCCCCCCCCCTCTCCCATCCCCTCCTCTCTCTCTCTCTCTCTCTCTTTCTTTCCCAAAGTATGTACATGAAGTGTGTCAATAATGAAATCAGATCCACAACTCATACTTACACCTTGAAGCATTTTTGACAATGACTTCCGTATTCCTCACGTAAGAGAACAGATGCAAAAGGCTTTTCTGTAGCAATGACATCTCCTGGTTCAATGTCCTCACCAGCAACAGCATAACGACCTTGGTTGTTTTCGTATTTAATATCAACTTTCTTACTAAGTGAAGGAAAGCGTTCACTGCTTCCTTCAGCGAGGTCGGGAATCACTGGCGAAGGTTCTATATAGCCCTCAGGTATATCTGGAAGAGCATAATTATAAATGAACAAATGCATGTAGTAGTAGTAGGCATCCATCAGTCTCAGGAGACTATGGAGTTGCGCTCTGGTTGTCGGTCTGGAGTGGCCTCACCAGGGCGCAAAGCCAGGGTAGGTTGATTCGGGGGAGAAGCCGTTACCCAGGCTGCAGGTCCCACCTCTCCACAGCGCTGAAAGTCTCCAATGGAAAGGCATACGCCAATACGATTGGTTCCAGTGCCGTCGCAGGAACTGTGAGTTCCAAGGTTGACCTTGAAGGTGGTGAAGAAGGGCACACTTATACACTAAATGCATGTAGTGTACAGTATACAATGCAAAAATTATTCATGAGGAGAAAAGCAAAATATATACTGTACTATTAAAATTAAGATAGAAACAGAATACAGGGCAATACAGAACAAAATTGAAACACTAATATATTAAATTAATTTTTTCCTTAAATTTTTTTTAAATTTTGCCCCGAGGGGCGAGTTTATTGGGCAGGGCCACTCATCTTGTGAGTGGACACACCGCCATAGAAGCATGTACAACACTCCCCAATAGGAAGAAAACCCGCTGGGTTGTTCATCCTGTCACTTGTACACAAACAATCATAGAGCATTCCTTCTAACATATTCCAAGATTTGTTAAACCATTAAGTCCTTTTTTTGTATAAACACTTACCCCAGTTCTTCACAACCTTCCCAGTCTCATACAATTTGAGCCATTTCTGTATGTCAGTCTGATGCTCTATCCTCTTCTCCCTCTCCATCTTGGCCCAATCTAGCCACTTGAGAGCCTGACGGTACGCATCGCGGGCATCAACATGCTGCTTCATATGTGACAAGAGTCGAGCTTTCCGTTTGTAAAGTTTGTACTTGAGCTCCTGTTAATAAAATGGAAACATAAAAACACTTTTAAATTGCATGTTAAACTTATTTATGTTGTACTGCAGTAGCTGTTAAATATAATGAAGCATCTACTACAATATTGTAATATTAATGTAACATTATTTCTTTTCAAAAACTATCACTCATATCATGCCATTGATTTTATTCTAAGCACTCACCTTTGGATAATGATGTTCCAATGCTTCATCTATATCTTTGACACAGTAATGGTATTCCCGTAAGTGATAGAGCGCCGCAGATCGGTTGGCCAGACAGATGGCATACAGGGTCATCTTCCTTGGATCGGCACATTCTTCTGTAAGTGTTTATGGAGTACAAAGAATGTGAATACGGTATATTAATTTTGGTCTAACAAGTTGTTGGCCAGCCTTATGGTAAAATTCATAAGTTCACTCAGGAATTTAATGAGTTTTGTGCATTTGTTATACAGTAGTGATAACTTAAATGGCATAATGATATTATGAATGTCCTATCTTCAGGGTCATTTGCAGATCCAAAGCATAATTAAGGCAAAAGAATTAAACAAGCATATGTGATATGTATAAGGGTGCATTTTATTTATTAGAAATGATAAGCTTTAAACTATAATAGTTAATTGGTTGAAATTGACTTCTTCCCATAGAAAATTATCAAATATTAAATATCAAGTAAAAGTAAAGCAGATTTATGTACAATATTAATGCTTGACAAATTATTTAATCAGATATCCTTATAACAATACTGTTAAAACAAGCACATATTTTAATAAAAAACTTACCGTATATCAAACATTATTAAATAAAGGTAATAATATTATTACAGTATTAGTAAAAATTCTTGTTATACAAAGACACAAAGCCTGTACTTTACAAGTAAATGAGATTGAAAAGAATCATAACTCATTATAAAGGCAATGTTACAAAATAATTCTAACGTACAGCATGAAGAGACACCATGTTATGAGCTCATTTTACTGGACAAGAAGTTTAAACACAATTTTTAATAGTGTACTCTCGTCTTGGTGCTTCTTTAAGGCTGTCAGCCCTTTGTGTTCTGTTCAACCTATTTATAAACCTCCTTGAAGCACTTTAGTTACTTCCATATACTGTATATGGGACTCTAATTTCAGAATGTTTAACAAATGTTGTGTTTCAGCTGCCAAATTAGATATCACTAAATAAGAACATAAGAACAAAGGTAACTGCAGAAGGCCTATTGGCCCATACGAGGCCGCTCCTATTCATAACCACCCAATCCCACTCATACACATGTCCAACCCACGCTTGAAACAATCGAGGGACCCCACCTCCACCACAGTACGCAGTAATTGGTTCCACAAATCAACATCCCTGTTACCGAACCAGTATTTACCAAAGTCTTTTCTAAATATAAACTTATCCAATTTATACCCATTGTTTCGTGTTCTGCCTTGTGTTGATACTTTTAATACCCTATTAATTTCCCCTTTGTTATGTCCATTTATCCACTTGTAAACCTCTATCATGTCACCCTTAAATCTTCGCCTTTCCAGTGCATGCAATTTAAGCTTTCTTTCTTCATATGAAAGATTTCTAATTTGGGGAATTAACTTTGTCATCCTACGCTGGACACGTTCAAGGGAATTTATATCCATTCTATAGTACGGCAATCCCTTAATATCCAACTTGCTATATTAAGTTGGATATTAAGTTGCTGTGACACGCATGTGCGTTGCTGAGCCACAGCAACCTTCCCATGGGGAACAGTCCTCCCCATCATTCTCCCCTTCTCCTCCCAACCATTCCTCATTCCCCTCATCCCCTTATCCTCCCAACCATTCCCCACTTCCCCGTCCCCTCGTCATTCCCACCATTCCCTCCCTCCCCTATCCCTTTGTCCTCCCCACCATCCCCCACTCCACCGTCCCCTCGTCCTCCTAACCATTCCCTACTCCAACGTCCCCTCGTCCTCCCCACTATCTCCCACTCCTCTGTCTTTTTAATCAATCTTAAAGTCTTTAAGTCTTTTTAATCAATCTTTCATGTGGCATCGTATCAAAAGCATTGCTAAAGTCAAGGTACACAACATCACAAATCTTACCATTATCAACCGCCTCAATTATGGTAGAATAAAATGATAGCAAATTTGTTAAACATGAACGGCCATTTGTAAACCCATGTTGTGAATCATTTACTAATTTATGTTTTTCAAGATGAAGACGAATGGCATTTGCAATTATTGATTCAAGTAACTTTCCCACAATAGACGTCAGAGGCCCGAGACTGTTCAACACGCTTCCACTACACATAAGGGACATAACTGGCCGACCCCTCACAGTGTTCAAGAGAGAACTTTATAAACACCTCCAAAGGATACCTGATCAACCAGGGTGTGACTCATACGTCAGGCTGCGAGCAGCCGCATTCAACAGCCTGGTTGACCAGTCCAGCAACGAGGCGGCCTGGTCGAGGACCGGGCCGCGGGGCCGTTGAGCCCCGAAATCATCGCAAGGGCGGCAAAGTAACTATTGACGTGTGTTTGCGTAGCCCGTGTTTGGTAATATTTAACTAAAACAATAACAAGAATAAAATAAAATGGGTAAACCCAAAAAATAAGTACTGTACGTATATCATGCACTTTTATTAATTGTCAGTATCATGCATTTGTTATTAGTATTCCATGCCCTTGTCATTAAGAGCCAATATTATACAAAAAATATTAACATTTGTTAATATATTACAAGTGCAAAATAAGGACTAATAAAGGAAAGTGTATTGTATATTATACACTTACCTTTATTAGCCTATATCTTGCACTTAATATTAATAATTCATCGAGAAACTTACTACAATGGTGTAGCGCTTGAATGCAGGTGAAGGAAAGACCAAGTATATGTGTAAGTGAATTAAAAAAATTGTTTAATGTAACCTACATCCTTTCTCAAGGTGGTGTATACTAATGAACAAATCCACAAGGGCCGTGATGAGGGTTCGAACCTACGTTCCGAACTAAGGCGGGGTTCAAGAGCTAACAGCTCGATTCTGGAGAGACAAATAGTAAATATAAAGGATGTAGATTACGTCCGAAAATTTGTTTTTTAATGCACACACACGTGTACATATATATTGGATCTTTCCTTCACCTTCAATAATTAATTGTGTCGCAGGACAGGCAGCCAGTGTATAGATATGCATGTTAGGCTTATATCGACGTCCCCCCCCCCTCACCCTCAAGATCGAACTGCAGACCGTCTTCAGGATGCAACTCCATGACTAGCTGACTAACTTCTGGGTAACTATTTACTGCTACGTGAAGAGGTTGAGGCTCCAGAATCTGTACACCAGTTGATTGACAGTTAAGAGGCGGGACCAAAGAGCCAAAGCTCAACCCCCGCAAGCACAACTAGATGGGAACACGACTAACAACATTACAAACTAGACACGGCAGGGCATAGCTCATCGAGACCCGTAAAATAATGAACAAATTGGAGGATTTGAATAGAAGTGTGGCTGACAATTCTAAGTTGGAGGACATTAATCCAGACCACTTCTTTAAAAGGTCAAGAGTAGCGTCTATATGGGACAACAGTGTCCGGCTCAACAAGCTACAATGTAGGATAGAAAACAGGAGAGGCTTTTTCACCCAAAGAGTTATAAACTCATAGAACCACTTACCCACCGAATCTGTAAGTAATTATCAAGAGAAAACACCAGCTAGGCCTTCTTTATGACAAAACATTACCGGTGTTTTGCGGCTTCCTGTCCTCGTCGAGGCTATTAGGAGTTAGTAAATCAGGCAAAATAAAAAAATTCAGGTACTACTTCAGTTTAAAATCGAGATAGAAAAAATCATCAGAAACAATGATGGGGACCTTGTAATCTACAAGTCATCAGCATCCTGTCCCCGTCGAGGCCACTAGGGAGAAAATAGCTCTCAGGTATATTCAGGTAAACCAGCTAATGAAGTCTGTGGTAAATCAGTTCAAGAAGTCTATGCTAATCCAGTTGATAAAGTCTGTTCTAAACCAGCTGATAAAGTGTGCTAGACCAGTTGATGAAGTCTATGGTAAACCAATTGAGGAAGTCTGTGCTAAACTAGTTGAAGGAGTTTATGCTGAACTAGTTAATGAAGTCTATGATAAACCAACTGATGAAGTCTATGATAAACCAACTGATGAAGTCTATGCTAAACCAGCTGATGAAATGGGCTTGGGGAGTAAAAGAACTCCCAGAACCCCGTCCAGGTACAATCCATCATTTTCATATACTTGAATGTATAAAAATCACTACATAGTTTGAGCCCTGGAGTCATATAGCGGACATCCTAACATTGTTAATAATTGGCGCCAACTGAACAATTGCCTTACCTTAAAATAACAGGAATATTACATAAATTAACAGAAGAACAACTGAGAAGAAGGTTAGACCATTCAATGTATTCAGAGCTACTGTGTATTTGCGACTAGGCTGCTCCAACGAAAAATACAGTAAATGCTATTTCCTCTTAATATTTTAAGTTTGGTTTTGATTGGTTTAAAATTTTCCGTAAAATATTATGAATCACAGATCTACGTATTAACGTACTAAAGAAACATTAGGCCTGTCTAAATAACAAAATAGCTAGAGCATCGCAACAGGCTTGTAATGGCCCTTACTAGCAAGGTTGGCTTCGTTTAAATCGACCTCCTTACACCCAATCCACCTTGGGGTCACGGCCAACCCCAAACCGAATACCCAGTAAAACTCTCATTTTGTATACCAAATATACTCACTGTCGAGGTGGATATATATATATATAAATATATAATGTACTCGTATATTCCTGTAACGGCAGCGAAAACAATGATTCTTACGCGCCTCCCATAAATTACATAAAGTACAAAACAATAGCCTCGCGAGAAACCACGTGCGAAAAATCTTAGGCTATCATACGAAATAGCAGCAGTCTGAGCTTGCTTGAGCTCATCTTCTTGGCCAGACGTTAGTGAGGATGGGGCAATGACATGCCGAACAGGTGTTACTCAACTGATCAACTTCCAATATTTACCCGAGGGCACAGGTGCCTTTACCACCGCCTGGCTATATAGTTTTAAAGCCTCCAAATTGTTCTTTCTCCCAAAACACTTGTTACCCGCTTCTTTCTTCTCCAGAGCCTCCTTCTCGGATTTTCCCTTGAAAAACGTTCTAATATCAATATCGTGAGCTGCGGGAAGATTAAAGCAAAAACGAATGCGTTCCTCGTCTGTCTTGAGCTTAGAGAACTCGTTGAATTGGTCGTTGGAGGTGGCCTTCCTCACCGCCTTATAATAGTCCTTGAAGAACCCTGGACGGTCTGCGTCTTCCAACATCCTCTGCGATCTGCAGAAAAGAAAAGACGTTTGTTAATTACTGTTAACACCGCCACAATTTAACATTACAAAATATACAAATACACTGCAATACATTTTGTAATAGCTACCAAAAAGCTATCTACACCTACCTACCAGGTAACGATGCTTTCTACATATTTACTACATCGATAGTAACGATGAGGAACATAGAATATATATACCGACGTACAACGAAATTAGAAATCTGAACTATTGAGTTGGACAAACCGGAAAACAATTTTTTACTTGTGTTGCTTTGACAAACTAAACTAACTTAACCTCCCTAGGCCTAATACACGATATCTGAGGCCTAATACACGATATCCGAGGCCTAATACACGATATCCGAGGCCTAATACACGATATCCGAGCGCCTAATACACGATATCTGAGGCCTAATACACGATATCCGAGGCCTAATACACGATATCCGAGGCCTAATACACGATATCCGAGCGCCTAATACACGATATCTGAGGCCTAATACACGATATCCGAGGGCCTAATACACGATATCCGAGGGCCTAATACACGATATCCGAGGCCTAATACACGATATCCGAGGCCTAATACACGATATCCGAGGCCTAATACACGATATCCGAGGGCCTAATACACGATATCCGAGGCCTAATACACGATATCCGAGGGCCTAATACACGATATCCGAGGGCCTAATACACGATATCCAAGGCCTAATACACGATATCCGAGGCCTAATACACGATATCCGAGGCCTAATACACGATATCCGAGGCCTAATACACGATATCCGAGGCCTAATACACGATATCCGAGGCCTAATACACGATATCCGAGGCCTAATACACGATATCCGAGGCCTAATACACGATATCCGAGGCCTAATACACGATATCCGAGGCCTAATACACGATATCCGAGGCCTAATACACGATATCCGAGGCCTAATACACGATATCCGAGGCCTAATACACGATATCCGAGGGCCTAATACACGATATCCGAGGGCCTAATACACGATATCCGAGGCCTAATACACGATATCCGAGGCCTAATACACGATATCCGAGGCCTAATACACGATATCCGAGGCCTAATACACGATATCCTAGGCCTAATATAATACATATGTGTGCTATACTTGGCCTAAGAATATTTGTGTTTTAACTTCATTTATTTATAAAAAAAAAGTCCTTACTAGTCAGTATACTACTATCTAAAAGGTAACTACGTACGAATTCGTGACTATTGACGATCGTCACGATAGGTACTATCTAAGCAGGAGGATGGGTTGTTTTCTCCCTAAAACCCAATTTGGTCATACTATCTAACAAGTTAGATTGTTTCAGGTATAGAGTTTAAGCTGCCTCTCTCTACTGGTACTGTTCTTGATTAAAGTTCATCTTAATTTTTTTAATTATTTGTTCTTAATTAAAGTTCATCTTAATTTTCACTAACCCATTTGTAACTTCTATGAGAACGATGAATTAAAGCACTTAACTAATGGCAAAGTTGGTGAGATAATAATAATAATAAAATATATATATATACAAAATAATATTATACAGGGATTAAATAATTGCTACAGTGTGTGTGTATATTTAATAAGGCCACTAATACGCAAAGATCCTCGAGCATAACTTAAAATAACAGTTAGGGTGTTGAAAGAAGCACGCCAACCTAACTTAGCCAACCTTAGCCTCTCCTAACTCAGTCTGTCCTAACATACACACCAACCCGTACGGGCAAACGGCTAAAAGCGACGTTCTTTTAAGAGGACAGGTTGCACACACAGTCTTCAAGAAATGTAGCACATTACATATAGTACAGCTTTTAAGAAGTGCATAACGTAAAATAAGAACGGGATAAAATGAACATGCGTTAAGGGGACATCACTGCAAATTAATATAGTTTGTGGTAACATCGATGGATTGTTGAAAAATATGAAAATAATTAACAAAAGGATTTGATTGATAAGCAAAATTCAGGTACTGAATAGGTTCACACACTCATTTATTTGTATTTTTGCAGGAAGCGATGGACCAGCCATTTTTTTTTCATGAATCCATGCGCATGCTAGCCGCGCATGGATCCATAGAGGCAAGTTTTAATGATAAGGTTGTCGCCAGAAATTTGGCCTCCGGCTAGGCTGCGGGAGTTGAAGAAGTCTTGAAACGGACAATAGATAACCACACGTCAGCCTCGTAGGGACTTCGTAAGGGCCTCGCAGGGACCTCGTAGGGGCCTCGCAGGGACCTCGTAAGGGCCTCGCAGGGAACTCGTAGGGGCCTCGCAGGGAACTCGTAGGGGCCTCGCAAGGACCTCGTAGGGGCCTCGTAGGGAATGAATGCCAGGTATTCTGGTCTCCAGTCTAGCGGCCCCTTACCTGTTCTCATGTCTCTAGTGTGTTGAGTAATAGTGTGCAGGAATTTCTAAAGGTTTGGCAAGTCTACATTCCAATCATTTTGTGCATTTTCATGAAATATTCCTCAAAGAAACAATCAAGCAGGTATACACAACCGACAAATAATCTGAAATTTTGGAAACGAATTAAGTAAAATCCACTGGATGAGAGGTGGAGGTCCGGACGGGTAGTGTTCCCGCCTTCATTAGTGGCGGCACCACCGCCTGCGTCGCCTGCACTATAAGGACCTCCCTCGGGACGCCTTTAACACCTCCGCCTCCACCATCCTTGTCAACCTGTCCATTACACTGCTCAAGTTCAGCAACCTGTCTTCCAGCGACCATGATATATATATATATATATACAGTATGACAATGTCAGACCACGGAGGAAAATGAAACAGGAATTTCCTTAAGTACTTTCGTATATTAAATACATCTTCAGAAGGAAGATGATTCCTTCTGAAGATGTATTTAATATACGAAAGTACTTAAGGAAATTCCTGTTTCATTTTCCTCCGTGGTCTGACATTGTCACATTCTTAATCACGTGTTTATTTTCGTGATATACACACACACACATATATATATATATATATATATATATATATATATATATATATATATATATATATATATATATATATTATATATATATATATATATATATATATATATATATATATATATATATATATATATATATATATATATATATATATATAATTTTGTTTGCAACCGAGAGTACTAAGTCTAAATAGTCTTCCAGGCTTAAAGTCTTCTTTTGATAATTACTTATTCCCCTGACATGAGGTCCTATATTGTTCAAGGACTCCCACAGTCTCGACCATTTTCTATTAGGGTTCTAAGCCTTTCTTGCACCGCCATACGCAAGTCTTTAAAAGCTTATAGTCAACACGTGAAGGGGTTCTGCAGATATAAAGAGGAACTCGCAATTTTTTTCATTTAAATTTTTTTGACAAAACCATCAGGTATTCCTATTAGGGAATACCTAATTACCTGGTAAATAATAAACGCCAAAAATGGCTCTCGCGATCATGTCCACTAACTTCAAATACTGTACTAAACTACATTCCATTTTAGCATTAAAACAATTAAAACTTGCGAAAGCAACTTTGAACTCGGAAATATATAGCTGCAGCTTGAAACAAAATTTAATTAGATTCGGTAGAGAGCGTCAATATTGGCATGGCAACAGTGGAGAGGGCTGAGGCTACGTCCAGGTTACAAGACTTTGCCTAATTTAAGTTTGTGTTTACTCTCTCTCTCCCTCAGTTAGGGTGAGGAGTGAGACAGAGGCGAGATGGTTCACAGCTCTCATTCGCAAACCTAAATTTAAATTTAAATTTTGCCCCGAGGGGCGAGTTTATTGGGCAGCGCCACTCATCTTGTGAGTGGACACACCGCCATAGCAGCATGTACAACACTCCCCAATAGGAAGAAAACCCGCTGGGTTGTTCATCCTGTCACTTGTACCCAGACACAGGTGGGACTAAGGTGCAACTAGTTTACACAACTCGTTATAGTTGTGGTTGAATTGAGCAGGTGATCAGACTTGACAAAATATGTTGTTTATAATTAGAGTGCGAGATTTATATTGACAACATACAAAGCATACAATTGGAATCATTTCGCGTGACATTTACAGTATTATACAGTGTAACCACTGCCTTTGTGGTGATGGCGCAAACAAATGGGTAGAGTTTCTTTCACCCTGATGCTCCTGTTCACCTAGCAGTAAATAGGTACCTGGGAGTTAGACAGCTGCTACGGGCTGCTTCCTGGGGATGTGTAACAAAAAAGAGGCCTGGTCGAGGACCGGGTCGAGGGGACGCTAAGCCCCGAAATCATCTCAGACCTCAAGATAGGTATGATAGAAGGTAGTGAAGATAGGAGGTTACCTTGAGGTGTTTCCGGGGCTTAGCGTCCCCGCGGCCCGGTCGTCGACCAGGCCTCCAGGAGGGAGAATATGTGTGGTTGTAATCAGGAAGAGTGGGAGTTTTCAGGGAAAAAGCGCCAAGCCAATACGATTATATAGCACTTGGAAGGGGTCAGGATAAGGATTTGGGATGGGACGGGGGAAGGAATGGAGCCCCCCAACCACTTGGACGGTCGGGGATTGAACGCCGACCTGCATGAAGCGAGACCGTCGCTCTACCGTCCAGCAATCAGGGAGAGAGCTGGCCTCACCAGGAGGCACTAGGGGCGAGCCAGCTTCCCGCTAATGGTCCGCGCGCGTTGCAACCCTTCAAGCACTGGCAAAACACTCCTCGAGGTGGTGACTGATAGGAAAGGCTGGCAATCACAGTTTGCCTCCTCCATGACCTGCCTGGCTGAGGGGAAGGGGCAGGCGATCACCCCCCATCCCCCTACTCTGGGTACTGGTTGAGGGGAGGGGCCAGCGAAGACGGACCCCCCAATATGGGCAAGGGATGAGGGAAGAGTGATTGGCAAGGTCGGACTCCCCCGGTTAAGGAGAGGGAGGTGGCGAGGAGGGACAGCGAGTGTTGGTGGGCTGCAGCTCCAGCTACACCTCCCCTTGTCATGTGAGCTGGCCGCCACATGACGCCTTCACCAGCCTCC